TGGACCAGTGAGGCGCTGGAGGATCTTCGGCCGTGCTTTGACTGCACAGACTGGGATGTTTTCAGGACTGCTACTGACAGACAGTCTGGATGAGTTCACAGAGGCTGTAACTTCCTACATCGGCTTCTGTGAGGACAGCTGTGTACCATCATGCACCAGGGTGAGTTACAACAACGACAAACCCTGGTTCACAGCGGAACTCAGAACACTACGCCTGCATAAGGATCAGGCATTTAGGAGTGGGGACAAAGACTTGTACACAGAGGCAAAATACAAGTTTAGCAAGGCGGTGAGAGACGCTAAACGACTGTACTCTGAGAAACTCCAACAACAGTTCTCAGCAAGTGACTCTGCTTCGGTTTGGAGAGGCCTCAAACACCTCACCAACTACAAGCCAAAAACCCCCCACTCCATGAATGACCTCCGCCTGGCAGACGAGCTCAATGAGTTCTACTGCAGATTTGAAAGACAATGTCCTGATCCCATCCCCCACAGCTCCACCAACCTGCTGCAGTCCCCCTCCCCTCCCTCCCCCAGCCCATCAGGTGCTCACGCCTCTTCATCATTATCACCTTCCCCTCCCCCACCAGCAACGACCCTCTCTATTCTGGAGAGAGACGTTAACCGGCTCTTTAGAAGACTAAATCCCCGTAAGGCAGCCGGTCCGGACTCCGTTTCCCCTCACTCCCTGAAGCATTGTGCTGACCAACTGTCTCCGGTGTTCACTGACATCTTCAACACCTCCCTGGAGACATGCCACGTACCAGCCTGCTTCAAGGCCTCCACCATCATCCCTGTCCCCAAGAAGCCCAGGATCACAGGACTCAATGACTACAGGCCCGTCGCCCTGACCTCTGTAGTCATGAAGTCTTTTGAACGGCTAGTCCTGTCCCACCTGAAGTCCCTCACCGACCCCCTCCTGGACCCCCTGCAGTTCGCCTACAGAGCCAACAGGTCTGTGGACGATGCTGTCAACATGGCCCTCCACTACATCCTCCAGCATCTGGACTCCCCAGGAACCTACGCCAGGATCCTGTTTGTGGACTTCAGCTCTGCTTTTAACACTATCATCCCGTCTCTGCTGCAGGACAAACTCTCCCAGCTGCACGTGCCCGACTCCACCTGCAAGTGGATCACAGACTTCCTGTCTGACAGGAAGCAGCACGTGAAGCTGGGGAAACATGTCTCAGCCTCTCGGACCATCAGCACCGGTTCCCCCCAAGGCTGCGTTCTTTCCCCTCTGCTCTTCTCCCTGTACACCAACAGCTGCACCTCCAGTCATCAGTCCGTCAAGCTCCTGAAGTTCGCGGATGACACCACCCTCATTGGACTAATCTCTGGTGGGGACGAGTCCGCCTACAGGTGGGAGTCTGACCATCTGGTGTCGTGGTGCAGTCAGAACAACCTGGAGCTCAACGCTCTAAAGACAGTGGAGATGGTTGTGGATTTCAGGAGGAACAGAGCCCCACCCTCCCCCATCACCCTGTGTGACTCCCCCGTCACTATTGTGGATTCCTTCCGTTTCCTGGTCTCCATCATCACCCAGGACCTCAAGTGGGAGCTGAACATCAGCTCCATCACCAAGAAGGCTCAGCAGAGGTTGTTCTTCCTGAGGCAGCTGAAGAAACTCAACCTGCCAAAGACGATGATGGTCCACTTCTACACGGCCATCATCGAGTCCATCCTCTGCTCCTCCATCACCGTCTGGTACGCTGCAGCCACAGCCAAGGACAAGGGCAGGCTTCAGCGTGTCATCCGCTCTGCAGAGAGGGTGATCGGCTGCAATCTGCCGTCCCTGGAGGACTTGTTCGCTTCCAGGTCTCTGAAGCGAGCTAAAAAGATCGCGGCTGACCCCTCCCACCCCGGACATAAACTGTTTGTGCCCCTTCCATCTGGCAGGAGGCTGAGGTCCATCAGGACTACGACCTCCCGCCACACGAACAGTTTCTTCCCGTCGGCAGTCGGGCTCATCAACAGAGCCCGGTCCCCCACTGCCTGACTATAACACTCCACCGGTCACTCCCCCTCATACTGCACATGTCACTTTAACTGCAATTCATCACTTTGTCACTTGTCACTTTGTCTCTTGTCTGTTACTTGTTTGTTAGTGCACTTTATGCTTAATATTTTTCAACTTTTTAATATTTAAAATTTGTTTAACTTTATTCCCCTGTTTTATACTAACCCATAGCCTTAGCCTTATTCTTACTAACCCATTGCATTAGCATTTCATTCCACTTTATTTTATTACCTGTGCACTGTTGTCTTGTCTGTCTACTGTCGCGCACTAACCGCCAAGACAAATTCCTTGTATGTTTGACATATTTTGGCTAATAAATGTTTCCTGATTCCTGATTCCTGATACGTATTCTGTCTCCATACTATCTCAGGTTCAAACTGCACCATATTTTCATTAAATAAATTTGAGAAGTTGAGAATGTTCCTTGATTTTGGTCGCGGCTTGTCATTAAGGGGTGATGGTGGGTCCCGGAGCCAGACCAGTTGAGAACCACTGGGCTAGAGGGTGGATTGGAATGCTAGAGGTGAGAGCAGCGTCAAAACAGGTTAAAAATATATTTTCGCCCTCATTTTCACAATTTTCAGTCTTCATGCTTAATTTTTGGGTAACATGATACAAAAATCTTGTGCTGGTCGTACCCATGTGGCTATAGAATCTGTTTACAATTACTTTGGGCCACAGAACACAGAGAGCGAGACAAAGTCCAACTCTGGCTCCTTAGAGACCAATGCAAATCTGGTGACAAATTTCTCAGAGGAAGCAGAAGGTACAAGTTTTGGAAACTGGCAATAGAGTTGTATTTCTGCCGCAGAGACATATTAAAGCATTTGTTAACAGTCTTGGGTCTCTGAAAATATTTTTTGGATTAGAGTTATAGTTTTGCAGTGACGTCAACTTCTTTGAGGTGTGGAATGTATCAAAGAATCGCTCATTCACTCTGCCCTTTGAGCTCGTTGACGATCGCAGCTGCACCGCATTCGTGGCAACGCAGAGACCCCCCCTTCTCTTTCAAACCTCCTCAAATCCCTTCTCCCCACCCCTCCGGGTCTCTCTACCACCCCCCCTTGCAGAAGTCACCTCCCTCAATTCCTCCCTCCCTGCCCCCTTTCAATTCTGGCCCCACCTCTCTTACCTAAACCACCCCCTCACAGAAGTCCCCCTCCTCCCTCAATTATTCCCCTCTTGCTCTTCCCCTCTAACCCTGCCTCTGATGTGTAGTTTCAACAAAAATCTGTAGTTTCGACAAAAATCCCTGTTTATACTTTGATTAGCGAGTTAAGGCGGCAGATGGTGCCTACACACACACACACACACACACACACACACACACACGCAAGCGGGTCACTCTCTCCCTTTGACACATGACTTGGAGCTATTCAGTCCTCTCGAACCCACATCTTGCAAACCCACCCTTGTCCTTACCTGAATGCCTCCTCATTCAATTTCAAATTAATTTGGAAACTACAATGAGTAAACAATGTGTCTTTTGACTTGAGGAAGTCTGTGTGGGTACTGTTCACTCAGTTCCGTGATTACAAATGATGTCCACTAGATGTCCTCAACGTTTTACCAAATGTTGTGACGGGGAAGGAGAGCTTGTTGAAGTGCTGTTGGAAATATCAGAGCTAAATATTTTGAAGTAATCATGCAGAATTGAACACAGTTAACTGCTGATTAGCTCAATGTAAAATTTGTTCTGTGGTATTTGTATTATAATTAAGTCATCATGTAAACATTGACAAAATCATTGCAGCCGGCCAGGTGAGGTTTTAATCAAGCAGTACAGTAAATATCTGGGGTAGTTTCCCAGAGCTTCTTCATGTGCTAATGTTCTGATAATATGTATGTCACAAAGGTTGTTTTGTTTTTTATTCTGCACATCTTTCAATCGGGAAAGCCCTTTGTGCTTCAGCTTAAAAATGTGTTATATCAATAAAATATTATATAAGTTATCACTAATGTTATTATCAAAGGAGTGCTGAAAAGTAGGCTATATGCTTGTTCTGTATATTTATCCTCTGAGAGTTATTTACACCCACATGTATAGTGGTAAAAATGAACATAGGCTACCTCGCTCCATATTTTCCATTGTATCCCAAATTAGCTCCATACCACTTGACATGCTAAACAGGCCAATGGCAGCCCCCAGCCCAGAGCAAGAGTGTCTCTGTCCAACCATTTTGGGGGTTTCATTTCCTGAGATTGGGGTAGAAAGCCCCCATTAAGTAGGACATTTACAAAAGGAATCCTAGTGCTTGCTGTAGGAAATGATTAACTGACCCAATTGAACTGAAGTTATGCTCTATTCATGAGTTCACCAAACAAGAAAACACACTTCCTACCCTGACCACATTAAAGCTAGATCCACCAACTCACCAATTCACTATGATTTAGAGAAAACAATTGTGTAAATTTAGAACAAAAAACGGCCGCCAAAAGTGGTCAAACGGTAGCGTTTGAAAAGCGAGAAAACAGTCTTTTCGTTTTATGGTTTTTACGGTAAAAGGGACTATCAAAGGGTACACGGACCATACATACACTGTGTCGTGATACTGGGCGGAGTTCAGCGTGTGAACCAATGTAAGCGAGATCAAGAGATCAAGGCAGAGCTTCATGACGACAAGACCGGCAGTGACATAGGTGACTAAGGTGGACTCCAAAATAAAGTCTCTTAGCTAAACCTACAAGGGTGTTTAAAATATTGTTGAACCCAATCACATTATTTCATTGTTTTTACTACAAATAAATAATATTTATGGGTGTATTGGTGTATTTAGCATGCAACCAACAGCACATACCATGTGCTTGTGAAAATACATTTAAATAAAGTTAGTGCTTTATTATTAAACATAAGGAAAATATTTAAAGGCAGTGTTCGGTGCGGGTGCCTAAAACAGTCGCCAACTGTATTTCATTGTTATCTCCTGCTTTTCTTAATGTTTTACTACATCCAGAGTTTATTATGAAAACCTCTTTCCGGAAGTAAGATATATATATATATAACCATATATATATAGTTAACGTTAATGCTACGGTATGTGGGGCTTGTACGGGAAGACAACACGGGAGTGATCGATAGTAAGACGGGGTTGGTATATTACGGTCACTGGTGTGCCACATGGTTCGGACCGCGGGTTCCGTCGGTGTTTTTAACCTCGCGGGGGTTGGCTCCCCATTAGTGATCTTGCCGGCTAGCCTACAACCGAAATCGACTACTGGCATCTCATCATTTCGTCTCTGTCTCTTGTTTGTTGTAGTGTAACCGATCCCTTGGAAATCGACACCGACCACAAAGCCCTGGCTACTCGTTAGGATAAGGAAGCGTTTGTGTCGTGGTGACCGTGCCTTTGATCCGATACAGGATGTCTGGTCAGAGCATTACAGACCGAATGACCGCCGCTCAGCACAGTGTCACCGGGTCCGCGATATCAAAAACTGTGTGCAAGGCGACCACCCATGAAGTAATGGGGCCAAAGAAGAAACATTTGGACTGTAAGTATCCTATTAATTGAATAATGGTATAGGTGTAACGTTAACAATTGATTATTTCAATATGGTCAAACAATTTGAATGTTGACTACGAGGCCTGAGGTTGCATGTCACGTTTGGTTGACTAACGCTATGGTTCCGTTACATTAAGTTATACATGAGTGGTAGTTTTGTGATAACTATAGATTTCCACTGGCTTTAACATCAAATACTTCATTTGATTCGACATAATTAACGTCAATTTACATGGTACCTGCCTGCCAGTGGCATGGGCTCACTGTTCGCAGCTTGGATCCTTTTCAAAGCTAACGTTGAAGTTAACGACCACGACCCACGAAACAGGGTAACTATTAGGGGTGGGAATCTCTTGGCACCTCACGATTCGATTCGATTCCGATTCAGAGGTCAACGTTTCGATTCTAAACCGATTATCGATTCTAAACTGATAAAACGATTATCGATGCATCTCGATTTTCTAAATTTTCTCAAATCTGAGTTTGCTACTCAGAGGTTGATAATCACTTCCTACTTTATTTAATAATTAAAGAAAATCAACAGATGAATTACCTTCTCTAATTTTTATAAGAGAAATCTTTGTCACAAATATGATTTTCTATCAACAATGCAAGAACCAATGCAGCTTGCATTTCAACACAAAATGAAAGTAGCCTATGTAAAAAAAAAAAAAAAATTAAACAGACTCATTTTTCTTTTAAATGAAGAAAAAGCTGCTGTTAGTCTCAGACCGGTCCGTATTTGTAAAATACCGGAAAAAAGTCCAAATCTGTGAATATCTTGCCAACTTTCAATACGGATCGACTTTTTGGAAAATCAAAATAATGAGGTAAGATATGCGCAGGCTCCTCCATAGTTCGGTAAAGTTGGCAAGATATTCAGATTCAGACTGACGGACCGGTCTGCGAGCTGGACGCATTGCTCTTAATGTGCCGGTAATGATGGTAAATTATGATTATAGCTGGTTGTCATCCACGGTCCACTACGATTACGGAAGGGGGGCGTTTGTTTTTTGACAACGTTTTATCTCATCATTTTTTATCCCCTTTTATTGCGGAAATGGGCTTCTATAGTTGTGTGAATGCATCACTCCGCCCCCTTACTGTCAAAAAGGAGAACAGCGAGCGCGTAGAAAACTCCTTCAAGCGCGAGCAGAGACTAACCTCGCGAGCGAGCAAATATCTCGCGCGAGACACTTTAAAAAAAAAAAAATTATTCCGATTATTACATTTTCTGAATCGAGACCGAATCGTTCTAGAGAGAATAGAGAGATATCGAAAAATCGGTGCAGCTGAAGCGCACAAATAGTATTTTGCTCTGAGTAGGAAACCGTGTTCGCTAGACAACGTTAGCTCGGGACAGATGGACGGAAGACTAATGTGGATGTAGAAAGATAAATTAACGGTAACCATTATTGTCTGTTCGACAATTCAGGCGTGCACAACAAAGTGCAACACGCTAACTTGTATTGTCTGTTCAATTCTAATTGTAGCCATGTGGTGTTTAAGTTTGAGTAAGGGTTGATATTTAAGCTTGATAACTGATGCATGTTAATGTGTAGTTTAGCTACACTAAATCGCCAGCGTCGGTTCCAAAAGCTAGCAATTCAGATGAAGCGGTAGCTGCATAAAGTTGCTTTGGCTTCATTTAGTTGGTTCCAGATATTATATAAAACAGTGTTCATGGCAGCTTTAAGGGAAGAATATGAGCAAATATAAATCCGGCAGGGCCACGATCAGATCGATGACGGTATTTTAGTTTTTTGCGCTGTTTATGAATTCATGTTTTTAACGCCATCTGTTCAGATGGATAGACCTTAACAGTTGGTCTCTTTTAGAGGTTTGACTAGTAGACAGTTGAGACAAACTTTGCTCTTCCTAACCTTCAGCTCTTGTTTGAGAGTCAGTGGCTGGATTCGAATTGTCAACCACTATTCCTTGACCTCTGTCGAAAAAAAAAGTCAAGTAAAGGAAAACTGCGGTGTTTAGGCAATCCAGCTTCACTTTCACTGAGCTGCATAGTTATGGCACGACGGGAGACTCATGTTCGTGACGTCAGCGTCCAGTGATGAAACTATATAACTAATTTCTCTGATGGACTACAAAGAAGCGCATCTTAGATGCCCTCGTCCCAGGTTCAAAGTATAACTTTATTAACAAGGTTGCAAAATAAAGAAGTTGGGTAACGGTTACTTATATGATCTGCGTTTCTCGATCGTGATCGTTAGTTCTCATGAACGCCTAAATGATACGTCATTTAAATATTGCCGCTGCATAGAATTGTGAGATGAAGTTATCTCCTTTCGTAAACGATGGTCCAGTGGTTCCTATGCTGAAAGAGCTCAGTATTTATGTATTGAAGCTCCTTTCTTTTGTATTCAGAGAATTTGAACAGCCTTTATCATGGCGGCCACTGACACTACTTCCGGATCATTCCACTCAGTTAAGAACCTTTTTTGATAATTTGAAGCCAGCCTATCTTTTGTCAGACCTCCATGGGCCTGTCCAAGTTACTGTGTCAACAGATCCTAGATATACATTTTACTGGTTGTTTTATATTCTCAGTCCATACTAATCCGCAAGCATTGTATCGCAGGCAGCTCATCAGTCCTTGTGGGGTTGATAACTGCTTTCTCCATTCCATTTGCTGAAAACACATTGCTACATTGTTACTTATGTAGCAATAGGTTTTTGTCAGGGTGTAAACATTGCTCGTATTGGTGGACCACTATCAACAGGATGCTGCTAGTGGTCAAAGGTCTCTCTTGGGGTGATTAATATATGATGTCAGCAGTAGCTGACCTTTGGTAGGGGCATAAACATATTGATTCAAGAGAAAGCTATAGGATTCGTTGCCATATGAATGGGCCCTTTGTCTATAGTGCATTATTAAAAGTTACAGGTACCCAAATGCAAATTGATAATGGTGTGTCGAATGCTCGACAAACTGACATTCAGTGTCTCCGGTGGCTGGTCTGCTCTTTTTATAGAGGAAGAGAGAAGTTGATCGCGCTGCCTGAGCAGATGCAGACAGGTGAAGAGAAGCAGTGAACCCAACTAAGCTAAAATCTCACCAAAAACAACAACCATCCGCCCGGTCTTTCAACCTGAACTACTGTCGGTTCCTCCGGACTGCTCATTCGCCTCTTTGGGCGGGAGGAGCGTCGTCCTGCGTTCCTCCAGGGCCGGCCAATTGTTACTGACACCGGACCGCTACGTCTCTCCCTGCAGCCGCGGAGCACGTCGCCCTGCCGGCGGTCGAGGCCCCGGGTTAAACCTCCCCAGATGCCGCGGTGTGCCTTTCCGCTGGACACATCAAGCCGGATGCGTCGCCCGCTCCGTGTCTCTTGCACTTATTACTTTTTGTTCTATTCATATAGGATATATTTTTTCACATTCCGATTCTAATGTCTAACTATTCTGACAAATAAAACATTTTGTTCTTTTGAAATAGCGTACTTTTATTACTATGCTATTGTCATTATGTTTTCAGTGGCATAAAATGGTCTGAAAATTGCAATAATATCGCATTAAATGTTCGTGCAATAATCGGCCAATAAAAATTTGATATCTAGACCGCCCTAGTTGCCTGCCTTTTAGGGCAATGTGAAGTCAGTGTTTCCCTTAGGTTTAACGCGTTTTTGGGGTGGGGGGCATTGCAAGGGGAGCATTCAACTTTCTCATTACAATGGCTTCTGCCACTTAAGCAGCAAAAAAACCCCAATTGTTCTAATGTCATCGCTTTTTTAACTTGAGACAAATATCCCTGCAGTAGTGTTGTATGGGATGGTTGTCCATCCGTGATCCGTACTGATCTACATAAATATATATTGAATATTGGTATAAATGGGTCATAACTTTGCTTTAAAACGACTTGACGAGATTGGTTTTATTCAATAAAGATACAATTGTTTGTTTTCCAATCAGACTTATGTGTTTTTATGAATACAGGGTTGCACGACACTGCCGACGGGGGGGTTGCACGGCAGCGGACGATGGGGGGGGAATGAATCAATATAAAAGGAGCAGAAGTGGCCGCGCATTCGTGAGGACCATTCTCACAATAGCAAAGTCATCCGGGGGGCCAGTTTTTTTCAGAGTTTGACGTATGCGGTGTAAAGCATGCAAGCTCTCCTTCATGTTTCACAACAGTTTGATGATCAGGTTCTGGCTTTGGTACTGGGGTTCCGTGACCTGTTTACATGGTTAGACATTGCTGTTCTTTAGAAATATAGAAGTCTGAGTATTCTGATTTGCTGTGGGGGTCTTCAGCCTCAAATTCATGTTCCCTCCTAATGTCTGGCCTGTTTCAGGTTCCCCTGTCATCTAATCCACCTTGCTGGTGGTGGTGTTGAGTTGACAGCTCTCGTCACTTCATCAGGCATGTCCAAGACATGCGGCCGCAGGTTAAATTATATGATTACAAAGTCGATCATTGATCTTCGGCCTGATGTACCTACCTCTGGTACCACGCAAACTTAATGTCCATTATGGACAAACGGTGACTAGCAAAGAAGTCATTAGCGACAAACCACTCTGTTTCAGGTCAGGCCGGCTGTTACTTCCAATCACACCCCTACAAGTTTCACTTTTTACTCCCTACAATCTGTTACCCTCTCGTTCCCAATGGAAAACTCCCGCCGCATCCCAAGAGCCAGTGTATGCTGCCGGCAGTTGGCTCGCCATGGACCCCTGTTCGGCTTGCCGCCCGATACACGTAGCACTTAATCACAAGTCTTAACCCTGCGGGTGCTGAGTCCACCGGTTGGTTGCTCCATGTTTTTCCTTTGGGCTGAGCCTGACTGGACCCCATGGGCGAAACCCTGGCAAGCTTCCCTCTTTGGTTCGTCTTCAGGAGCCTTGGTTTGGGCGAGGTGACTTTGCTCTGTGGGCTGCGAAACATTAGGGTTGATCCACTCTTAGTGTGTGCTCTGCCCTGAACTGTTTGCCTTGGGAGACCCTACCAGGGCCTGATGCTTTCGGACTACATGGTTCACAGCATCATTGAGCCACTCAAACTCCTTCACGCCGTTACGGTGGAAATTTGAGCATGGCTATTCTCTCAGTGTGTAAAGCTGGGATCTGCAATTATCAGTATAGTCTACTGTGTAATTTGCAAGTGCCTTCATTATTTCAAGTGTTTGATTGTAAAAAGAAATGTTCTAAAGCAGGAGTGCCCACACTTTTTTCGATTCGCAAGCTACTTTTCAATCGACCAAGTCATGGCGATCTGCCCCAACACCTCGCCAATGTTAACCTGCCTGTTATGATCGTGGCGCCAAACTCTGAGGTTAACGTTTTTCTATAACAAACCGCTTTGTTTGTTTTTTTGCACGTAGCCATGCAATAAAAAATTCAACTGTTGCCCAGCACTGTTTATTTATATTCAGAACATTAATTTGACTGGAAACCCTTATTTCTGTAAATAAATAGTGTACTGATGTCTACCTGATCATAGGAGGAAGTCTCTGGTCATGCTCTCCTGATAGAAAGCAATCACCCTGATACTGTTCTTTTCTTACATGTATACAATGTTCAGCGGAAATCTAAATGTTCCTATCTATATTGTTGCTGTTCTTAACTGATTCAATATTTGTATTGTTGAATGCAGAATAGAAAGGTGCAGATTTTTTTTCTTTCTCTAAGAAAGTGATGGGTTACTGGGTATGGATGGACAGAAGACCGAAGGTTGTCTCTAGTAGTCATGGTGTTGTTGATCAGCATGTGACAGTCTGAAGGTAACCTCCTACTGCCCCACCCCGCCCCATGTTCAGAACAACTGGATTGTAGGGATAGCAGTTTCCTGAAGAAGGAAGGGTTTCTTGCATTCCTAAACAGACTTAAGAGGAAGTCATTACTTGACCCAAGCCCTCTCCAGCGCTATGCTGATCAAATGTGGAATGAGCTTTGATATATTTCCTGGCAATTACGCTGCTGATTACAAGCATACACAATCCCAGCTGCCCATCATCATGATCAAAATTAACGCGTTAATCTATGAGATTATTGTGGTCAAAATTTAGGTGATAAAATATTTTAACCTGTCTGTTACAGTGCATTTAGTGTGTGCTTACAGTGGCTTAGCAAACATATGATCAACAGCAGTAAAGGTATGTTTTTTGGGGAGGAGGTTGTGTTCTCCCCTGCTCTGCACGGACGATTTTAAACAGGTTTGTTCATTTATAAGTCATAGCAAATCTCAGTTCCATTCCTTTGGCACTGTATTTGATATCTGATTCTATATCCAAATTGCAACGTTCTATAACCGTGCAGGTTTGCGACATTCACATGAGTTTGCAGTGAGTGTGGAAAAATACATATACGTTGAACTGTAAACTCTTATCAGACGGCATCAAAATTAACCATGTATAATAGGAGGCGGGGTAACGACCGGGACCTTTTTCATGGTAGAAAGGTGTTTCCGCATGAATAGTGGATACGTCGTTGTCTCCCTTTCTGAAATTAACCATGCATCCTGTTGCTTTCACAATTACCTCTTTTAAACAATTTTAAGTGAAATTGATCTTTATCTTTAGATTTGGTGTGAAGTACAAAGCAACTGATGAGACCATCCACTGGCATAAAGTCCCTGCCCAGTTGTTTTCCAGATGTTTTCTTTTGTTTTGAAAGTCTCTTGTTAACCCTGGCTTACCAGCACTCCCTCTCCCTCCAGTACTTTAATGATTGTTCACAGAAAAGGATCCACTAAAAGAAAATTAGTACTCTGCATGGAGAAGATCTCTGCGTTCACTCATAAGCCAACTTGTCTTTTATGTCCATCTCCTTCTTCAGACTTGATTCAGTGCACAAATGAGATGAATGTGAACATCCCTCAGCTGGCCGACACTCTGTTTGAGAGGACCGCCAACACCAGCTGGGTGGTTGTGTTCAAGTCCCTCACTTCCACACACCATCTGATGGTCTACGGCAATGAGGTCAGCACGTGGAAATTCCGCAAAGGATGTTTAATTATCTGATAAAGGTTTCTCATCTGCACTTCAACAAAAGTGTCTGTATGGTGTACAATACATGCTTATATTTCATTGCTTGAAAGCCTCACCTCATGTTTTTCTGCAGAGATTCATACAGTATCTGGCCTCAAGAAACACACTTTTCAATCTCAGCAATTTCTTGGACAAAAGTGGCCTGCAAGGTATGTTACAACACTGTTTATACATTGAGTCACGGCATTTGTCATGACACACTCATAACACTCTTCTTTCCTTTACAACGTAGGCTATGATATGTCGACGTTCATAAGGAGGTATAGCCGCTACCTGAATGAGAAAGCCGTGTCTTACAGACAGGTCGCTTTTGACTTCACTAAAGTAAAAAGAGGGTGAGGAGCTTTCATTCTTGCTTTCTATCGTGTTGGTCTGTGTCATAGAGCTTAATGCTGTGGTTCCAGAAATGTGAAACCCCAATGAAGGGGGGAAATTATACTAAAGAATAACGTTGCAAAGGGTAGATTTCCTGCTAAATTGTGAGGTTTTTATTTATTTATTTTTTTACATAATTTCATCAGATGTATGCACCATTTGATCTCTACGGCACCATTGGGGGGGGGGGGGTCAAATAGTTCCTGTGTATGCTTCACTTCATCATTTTAAAGTTATAATACTTTATACTACTATAATACTACACATGATTTATATTACAATGAGTATTTAGCTTCTATTGTAGTGCAACTCTAGATATTACTTTGTCCAATCGTTTCTGTTTTACCAATGAGATTTATGAACTTATCGTACATATCTCACAATAACACAACCTTCAGCCATGTCTCCTTACAATTTTGAAACACTTAAGTTTACATTTATCTCTTTCCGTAGGTCTGATGGAGTGATGAGAACCGTGAACACAGAAAAACTTCTCAAAACTATCCCCATCATTCAAAATCAAATGGATGTCTTACTCGATTTTAATGTAAGCGCTCATTATGGGAAAGCACTTGCTTCAAAAATATATAACTGTCCCTTGAAATCAGGATTTTGTAAGTTTTCCGTTGGTTTCCAAATGCTCTCCTCCTCAGAACTTTAAACTGATCTCAACACCTCCCCCTCTTTTCCAGGTTAATGCCAATGAACTGACAAACGGTGTGATCAACGCAGCCTTCATGCTTTTGTTCAAAGATGCAATCCGTCTGTTCGCAGCGTACAATGAGGGCATAATCAACCTACTGGGTAATAACAAGCGTTTTGGTTGGCAGGCCCTTGCTAATTCGCTGTTTGGAACTTTTTCCGCATGTCCTTTGCATCATATTTGACGAGGTCACTACGTATGATGAGGGCCACGAGGTGAAGGAATTACCGCAGGAAGCATTGGATACTGCATTGAGATTTAAAAGCAAGGATGTGCATTCACGCAGAGTTTGTCTATAAGATAAAAACGGATTGCTTCCTGGAACTGCAAACCTGGATTAAACAGATCACTTTATAGTGAATAGAAGCTGAAGTTGTACAGCAGTGTTGCTGTGTCTCCCACATGGCTTGTGGCAAACTCCAAACAGGATTTCATATGGTTTACTTTCAACAGCGGCTTTCCTCTTACTACTCTTCCATAAAGGCCAGATTTACGGAGTATACGGCTAATATTTGTCCTGTAGACAGATTCTCCCACCTCAGCTGTGGATCTTTGCAGTTTGGGTGGACGGCCTTCTCTTGGGAGGTTTGCGGTAGTGCCACATTCTTTCCATTTTCTGCTTCAACTTCAACCTGAGCTGTTTTTATGAGCTCCTTGGTCTTTATGATGCTCTTTGTTCAGTAATGCTCTCCAACAAACTCTGAAGCCTTACAGAACACGTGTATTTATACTTCGATTAGATTGCAGACAAGTGGACTAATTATGCGACTAATAATATGACTTGTGAAGGCTATTGGTCGCATCAAATCTTTGTTAGGGGTTTTACATTAAAGGGAGTGAGTACATATGCAATCAACACTTTTCAGATCTTTATTTGTAAATCATTTTGAAATCCATGTTAACTTTCCCCTGACTTTCAGATGATGGATCATTTTGTAAGGGGCCATTACATAAAATCCCAATTAAATATTTGAATCTGTGGTTATACCATGACAAAATGTAGAAAGGTCTAAAGGGGTGAATACTCATGCACGGTGCTGTATATACACACATGCATCTCATTTACCTTTTGCACCAAAGATGTATTTATTATGCCTGCGGACACCTGTTTAATGACGCGTAGCCCTATCAAGACATTGTACTCATAAGAAATATAAACGTCAAAGTAGCAGACAAAACCAACCGAAGGGAAAAGGTGATTTTGTCATCGTCTGTTTTGTGTCTTTTACAGAGAAATACTTTGACATGAAGAAAGTCCAGTGCAAAGAAGGGCTCGACATCTATAAGAAATTCCTGACACGAATGACTAGAATCTCAGAGTTCCTCAAAGTTGCAGAGGTAAGGCAGGACCAGTGATTAAAATTGTTTTTCTTTTCTTCTGTCCGGGTCTGATGGTCTTTGTCTTCTTTCTGCAGCAAGTCGGAATTGATCGAGGGGACATCCCAGACCTGTCCCAGGTAAGACTTGATCCAACATCCAACATCTTCTTACTATCTATTACTCTGATCAACTCTCCTTAACTTTACATACCTCTTCTCTGGCTTTGCCTAAAACAAAGCAATGTCCGAAGGACTTCAGTAGTTGATATTGCGTTTTTTTTAATACCTGTGTCTAGAATCTCCAGCATTACGTGTATTTGCGAAAAACAAATGTATTTTTCAGCTCAAATCACTGAATAATGTCAATGAATTAAAGAATACTGTCGATGTGCAATTGCACCTGCTGTAAATTAACCTCCCCTTTGTTACGTGCTAGTAGTGGTGAGATACCTTTTCTATCAATTGATATAGTAAAGTCTCAGTTGATGAAAAAATACTTAATACATAAATGTCGTCAAGCCTGGCTTATATACCAGGTTTTGAATAGTGCTGGGCAAACATGAAAAAATGTAACTCGAATAATCTCATGATTTTAGCATAATGTACAGTATTCAATCACACAGCACGGAGCAGTGTAGGCCTACAGGAATATCTGGACCACAGCCAATCAGAGGCAAAGACCCGCCGCATTTCTGTCTCTGATTGGTTTAGACCACGATATGAACCATGAGTGAGTTCCGTCAAAGGAGAACAAACGCTTTGTTCGTTGAGAGGCAGCGGATGCGAGGACAGGTGCACCGGTGCGACCTAGGAAAAATTTTCGCACCCGTACAAATTTTGGTCGCATTCTAGAGTACTGAAGAACTCTTCTGAACAATATGACCAGTAAGAAAACACTTTCACAAGCTTATTGCTTAAATAAAGGTGTGAATCTAGTAGGTGATATGGTGATATGGAACTATCTTTTGTGCTTTATCTAGAAAATATGTTCATTATGTAGTTGCTAGACGTTTGTAACTAACGGACACGCCCATGGTGGAGCGCTTTCTCCCAAAGGGCATTGTTATAAGATCTTGACTGTTTCCACCTTTTTATTGTCTGTATTCTTCCCTTCTTTCTATCCCTCTGTTTTCAGTTTACAGTTTGTGTAAGTATCTTAACCTAATCTTTATATGTCTCTGTATTTGAGTATCTGTTTGTGGACTCCTAGCCATAACTTGGCATGCTCCTGGATCTTTTTTTCCCTTTATTTTCTCTTTATTCGAAAACCTTTTTCTTATCAATGACATTCACTCTAGGCCCCCAGTAGCCTGCTTGATGCCCTGGAGCAGCATTTGGCCTCTTTAGAGGGAAAGAAAGTGAAGGACTCAACAGCCGCCAGCAGGTAGGTATACTTCAACTCATCAGAGCAAAGGCTGCAGTTTGAGAAACTGGACAGTTTTGAGCTGATTCAAAGGCATGGAAGATTGCGCTCTCCTCAGAGTAAAAACAAGACGACTGTGATACCACAAAGCGGTAGAGCACAAAGGGCACCCAACTGCACAAGCAGCTCTGAGATGATTCTTGGTTTGACACATTTTCTGTGTCTGTTGGTTCAGGGCCAGCACCCTGTCCAAGGCTGTCTCCTCTCTGGCCAACACTGGCAGATCTTTCACCAAAGTGGATGAGCGAGAAAAGCAGGCAGCCCTGGATGAAGAACAGAGTCGTCTGAGGGCACTAAAGGTACTTTTTCCTCTCCTTTTAAATTTGAGTGAATTAATGCCATGCATGTTATTATGACTACTTTCTAGTAGGGCTGCAACTAACGATTATTTTGATAATCGATTAATCGGTTGATTATTTCTTCGATGAATCGGATAACCCTTTATTCGAAAACAGAACTGCAAATTCACATTGCAAAAATACTCCAGAAAGTACAGGTTGCTCATTGAACATAATCATTTATAAACAAATAAAAAAATACAAATCAGAAAATTTAACAGGATTTGTTTTAACATCAGAACTCTATACTACACTCACACACTCAAACACGAGGGCGACTGTGGGTGAGTGGGGAGCACGGTCGTCCTCCAATCAGAGGTTTGTCTGTTCGATCCCAGTCCCGGCTAACCCGCATGTCGATGTCTCCTTGGGCAAGACACTTAACCCAACATTGCTCCTGTAGCTGCGACTACAGTGTGTGAATGTTAGTTACTGATGGGCAGGTGTCACTGTGTATGGTTCTCCTGTCATCAGTGTATGAATGGGTGTGGATGGGTGAATGATGTCATGTCGTGTTAAAGAGCTTTGAGTGGTCAGAAGACTAGAAAAGCGCTATTTAAGTACAGTCCATTACACTCCCATGTTCACTTGAATTATTACCATCATTGTAGTGCAAGTTAAGTAAATGTATACACCCCATCTGAAGCTACAGCTAAAAAAACGTGGTATGAGATTAAATTAAAATTTGTAAATAAATGCATTAGAGGCTTCTTAGTTAGTCGCCCTGGTTCAATGGATCACCGTGTCTCCCTTTATAGGCATAACATCAACTACTGTATAACCCACAGAATGTGCGCAAGCACTACCGTACAGCTGACAGCATTAAAAAGTATATAAAAAAAATAGAAATATGAATTGTCCAAAAAATTAGATACTATGTAAATAAAAATGTGTCTTAGTCTTGCTAACTGCTTTACTGCTGTTATTAGCGAGCCTACGCTAGCTTGGATGACAGCTGGATTACGAGTAAACAGGAGGCTCCTTAAGTTCCTTACTTCAAAACGGGGCAACGTGGTGCTCCCGTGCCAGGTTACGTCGACTTTGCCTATTTTTCCATTGGCACACTTTCAGGGCTTTCACGTGTCGCGCATTGAGCGTGAAAGTCACTAATTTTGGTCTTTAGTAACGCACTCCTGCCACACATCCAATTTGTCACGTCAAAAAAAATAAATTGACTTTTCACTTCTACCTTCCCGTCGGCCGTACCGTCCATCCCCCCCATGCTCGCACACCTTGGATGACGAGTCGAACAGACGTCATGTGACTCACAACAACTCTCGGCGCTGCTGGCTGCTCTTTCCTCTACGTCGGCTCAGCGCTTTTATTTTTCATTTTTGCTCCGCGCGCATCTCCACAACTAATTGAGTGATGTAATAATCGCGTGACACAACGAATCGATAATGAAATTCGTTGCCAACGCTTTTAATAATTGAATTTTATCGATTTCATCAATTCGTTGTTGCAGCTCTACTTTCTAGTGATCATATCAAATGCGGATCAGAGGCAAATGATTAGTTTATATACCATTGAGAAGCCCCTTTGTCAACATGTGCGTCGGACGGCGACTTGCTGCCAAACAATAATGGTGGTTGAACTGAGTGTTACGGTCCTCTGCTAGGAGAGTAAGGAGCTCCCAGTCCTTGTCGTGTCCCCACTTAATTTCCCCATTGCTGAGGCTGGCATATTTTAAATTCCTTGTCGTGTAGTCTGAACTTTGCTTAAAAATGCCCTCTCAATGATTGAAGGAGCAGCGTCTCTTGGAGCTTCAGAAGAATCCTTCTGCAGCAACCACAAACTCTTCCCCTATTTCCCCGATGGGCGGGACCATCAACTCGGCCCCAGCCATTGACCTCTTCTCCACCCCCAGCTCCATCAATAGGTGAGTCCAAAAGGCTTATTCAATCCATCATAGGTTCAATCCACACTATTCATCCCATTTGTATAGGTCCGGCTGCATCTCTCTTGTTCAAGTTTATTATAAAAATCGATACTGAAAAGTCAAAGGTTTGCTAGATTATGGCTCAGGACATTGTTAGCATAGACATCAAGGTCCGCACAGCTTTTAATGTGTTCTCCATGTTAAAAAAAACCCTGCTGGTGGCATGGTAATGAAAGTTGGTGTCATATGTTTTATTCTGGGTTAGTGAAACGTGATGGATCTGGGAGAAATATACGTTGGAATTGATTGTTGATTGATTCACTGATCAGCCAATCAAGTAGATGAGTGTCTGAGTCATTTTTTTCAAAAGTCCCACCTTCTGACCTTTACTAAACTTTACTAAAGGAAATCCTTGAATGTTCTAACACCGGTAATGTGGACAATAGGTATTGATGTGATAAAATGTGTCTCTTAAAAAAAAAAATGAGTGAATGTAGCTTGACATTATTTTAGATGCTCCAAAACTCAAGATAAAAAGCTGAGAGGAAATCTGATGATGTGGTTTAGACCAAGGGGCGCCAACCGTCGATTGCGATCGACTGGTCGATCTGAGTCTTTCCTGGTCGATCTCTAAAATAAAACAAATATTTATTCATAAACGCATTGTTTATCATTCTCAAACATTTTCTGCAGTGTCTTCTGAAATGTTTTCTCACGGACTTTGGAAGACCAACGTCAGAAAAGATCGCCTGATTCATAAACGGCTGAATACTGCTGGAGTGTTCTCAGCTGTGCTCACCCAAATGCGCGCTCTCATGCACCAGGATTTTCCCCGCAAGCTCCTTTATAAGGGCAACTAAATACAAGCGCCACAACTTCAGACTGATTCAAATCATGTCAGATATATATTAAATAAATAATACGGTTAGATGAAATCCAGCATTGCGATTGGTTGAGAGTGAGTCACAGGGTGTACTTTGTGGAGCCATGAAGTACTGTACCTGTTTACATCGCGCACTGATATGGAACGCTCTGGTCAATCACAATAACGGCTTATGATGTATACAGTTGACATGATAGAAAATGTGTTTTTTCTTGTTCATTTTTGGTTAACACATCATTTCCTTTTTATGTTAGGTAATTTAGTGTGTTCTTGGTCACGATTTGAAAGCTTGACCAGTGTTTATTTCATTCCATTCCATTACAATTGGGCCAAATAAAAAGCCCATAAGTAGTTGGAGCTTGCCTGCCACCAAGGCGGAGGTCGCTGATCTTGGGCTTAAAAAGGTTGGTGACCACTGGTTTAGACGTTTTGGGATCTATATATTTTTGATTTGTGCCATCTGAAGCTAAATTGTGATGAAATTAACTTTTAAATGGATTGCATTTAATACCAATGCCTCTATATCGCCATCACAACTAACTCGACCACCAGGAAGATGTCTATTTCTAAAAGGTTGTTCTTATTGCTTATCATAGTGCCAACACAAAATGAAAGTTCCTTTTTGTAGCTTTAATGGTAGTAGACGTAAATGGATAACATCTTTCTAAATGTATTTACCACTTTGACCCCACCATCTTGATAATAAGTGACTGATTCGTCCTCCATGCCCTTTTTATTCTACCCATTCCCACCAGCACCTCTGTGATAGCCAATGAGCTACTGGATCTGCAGCAAGCCTTCCAGCAGCCGCTGCCTCTGTCCACCACCACCACATGGGGAGGTGAGAGCTCCACCATTTTCTAAAACACTGCAGGTCAGACTGCTACCACAGGCACAAACATTTTTACATGTCACACACACATCTCTGACATTCTTCAGAGTACACACATTCAGTAGAATCCTTCCTTGGCATGTATGTAAAGAGGGATTCATGGACATTAGAAATTTGAAAGATTACCGGATTTTCTTCGCATTACATGTGCAGAGGTGTCAAGTAACGAAGTACAAATACTTTGTTACTGTACTTAAGTAGAAATTTTGGGTCTCTATACTTTACTGGAGTATTTATTTTTCAGACGACTTTTTACTTCTACTCCTTACATTTTCACACAAATATCTGTACTTTCTACTCCTTACATTTTAAAAACAGCCTCGTTACTTCCGGTTTGTCGTAGTTCACAAACACAAAAAAAACCATCTAGATAAATGGTGCTATGCGGACAGTGAATTTGATTGTGTTTGGATGAGAAGTATAAACATTTAGCATCCAGACACTCGATTGGTTTTCTCCGCGATGCGCCGGCAGATCGGAGCGACACCGGGTGAGAAAAGTGGTCGGTGGAAAGTTGGTATTTAGCGACATGGACCCTCCTCCTCTTCCTCACGCAGATTCCATGTAACGTTAAATGAGTATCTTCATGACCGTGGGTTGGTCCTAAATGTTTTATTGAGAGTCTGGCACAACACAGCGACTTGCAAACAGCGTATTAAATAAAGTGATGTGTGTGTTGATGCGGCTTGAGAAATGAACGCACTGGGATTCTGTATTTGCTCATGAAGCCTTAAAATACTGGTTATTTGACCGATGTTTTGATAACCGACTGCTGCCAGTTCAGTGTTTCCCATCATTATAAACAGGGGTGCGCCCCCCACCCCATAAAAAGTCAGACCCCGCCCCCCCGTGACGTAGTAAACCTGGGGGAGGCACTGCAGTCTACATAATCAATGCGAACAACGTGTGTGTGACTCGTGTCACTGGAGAATGGGTTGTGGTTTTATCTGTTTAAGTTAATTATATACATTTGTTGTTGTTGTTGTTTCCATCATCCCAACGGCAGGTCACGTGATCTGCAGGCACCTTCTGATCACATTGTAATGGACTGACGTGTTGTGTGAGCGAGGTTACACATTAAGAGTTTGTCCTTAATGGAATTTCTTACATTACTTTTACTTTTATACTTTAAGTAGTTTTGAAACCAGTAATTTTATACTTTTACTTAAGTAAAAAGCTTGAGTCGATACTTCAACTTCTATAGGAGTCTTTTTAAACCCTAGTATCTGTACTTCTACTTGAGTAATAAATGTGAATACTTTTGACACCTCTGTACATGTGCTTGTCCCTGTGAACACAATTCCTATGCGTCACCCGAGCATTCTTCTTGCCGTGCGCTTCTAGTGACCCATCCCAGCCGGGTTATTTCATCTTGTTTATCCCCCGCAACTTCACCGGTCTGCAAAATATTTTCTAACATGAAACTGGTCCTTGAGTCAAAATAGGGACCCCTATACTAAATGACTATAGGACGTGTTTGCACTTGTACTGTATTTAACAGGTGAGGCAACCTTCCCTATATGGATGGTTCTTAACACAAGCCTCATAAACGGTATGCCTGTTTTCGGTTATCCTAAGCTGTGGACTCTGCCCGTTGTGATAATGATGACTGGTGGACTCCTCAGTGTGCTTGTGATAAAACTGCTTGAGATTTGTAGGATTGACAGTATGTAATCTCAGCCTGTCTCTATATCGTCACCACTGTTCTAATCAATCTCCCCGCCATCACCCCTCCTCTAGGACAACAAGCAGTCGCTTCCTCCGTTTCCTACTGTAATTGCTTTCCCACCGTCTGTTTGTACTTCAAAGAACTTCGTTGCAGAAGGTCCATCTTTACCAGCAGGCCTTTTGGCTGTATCCATATCATTACTGTACTGTCTGGCAGGAGTTTAGTGAGGTGTTAAGCGACATTTGTTAATGGTCATGAGTAGAACTAGATTGACTTCTCCCAGAGACACTGTGATGGTTTTCAGCCGCCACTGTTCTGCTTGTGTCCTGCCCAGATTTTTGTCGAGTTCAGTCTAGCCATGTGATAAGGGCAGGCTTCTTCCGCTTTGGTGTTGCAAATCCCAACCTTTTTGTTTTCCCTCACTTAAAAAGCCACTGTCCTAGTTGCTTGGCTTCTTTGCTGCTCTTTTGTAATCTTCTCCACTCTTGTTCCCGGCTCTTTGGCTGACTGCTGTGTGTCAGACTCCTTCTGTGGGCCAAGCCCTTACAACACTCCTCCACTCTTCCAATCTGATTCCTCTGCTGAAGCTTCTCTATTCGGAGGTAGGTCAGTGGAGTTTCTCAGGCCATTTTCACTTTAAAACATAGTTTATTTGCTTTACTCTAAGCGTTCCTACTAGGTTTGAGTTTTAGGGCACAGAAAATGTGGTCTATAAGAAAGTCAAAGAGCAGCTGTTTTTCTACTTGCTCATGGCTGTGTTTGCAGTACCAGAGGTATCATGTCGTCAATATTTGGAAACCAGTGCTAATTTTCTTTTTTTTTTTCTATTTGCCTCACCAGGGTTTACAGCTTCCCCAGCACCCCTGCCCCCACAAAACTCTCAGGCCCTTAACGTGGACTTTGACTCAGTATTTGGCAACAACGTCAATGCTAACAACCTGGATGGTACAGGTAGGAGTAGTTTTCCTCCACACATTGCCCTTTGGGGGCCAGCAGAACTCATGTACTCTCCCGCCCCCTAAAGGTTTGGGGCACAGGTTGAATGTACATTGGATCATGTTCAAAGTACCGGACCCCAGCGGATCAGGCCAGAACCTAATTTATGTCAAATCCAAACAGATCCTTAATGACCATGAAATAGATGTTACACTCGCATTATTGAACCATTAGGCTGTGACATAGGTTGGAGCTGGCTCATTCTGAGAACTCTAGTGAAGCACATTGCAAAATAGCGGCCAGAAGTGTCTTATTTTTTTAATAGCGATGTTAATTTGTCATGTGCTTCATCTAACTACATATGTATGGTTAGCATGCACAGATGCAGAAAATGATGCAGGTTCATTGCGTGTTGTGTGGCCGTAGAAATCATTTCCGCTGTCTGATTCTATTTCTACTGGCTATCGTCATTTAACATAGTGCTGCTATTGCGCCACAATAGTTTAGCTTGCTTAAACTAACTTTTTTTAAAATTATTTTACATGGGATTGAATTTTAGGAAATAAATCTCTTAATGTAGTATTTCTGACATGTGCACTGAGAGGTTTTTGAGGAAATGGCATGACTCTGGATGAGTGATTCTTAATTGAAATACCATGTGACCCACCTTTTGATTGTTCACTTTCACTGCGTTCTGGGCTGCTCAGTGAGACCATGAGCAGCCCAGAACGCAGTGAAAGTACTCATGATTGTTGTTCTCTTCTCCCTGATTCTGGTGTTTCTGGGGCCTTTCCTTTTTGCGTGGTGTGTGCTTGACTGGGTGAGTTGACACAAAACACACATGCTTCATTGAGTTTTATTTTTCTTTTTATGACCTGCTCTCCTGTCTCATCCACCCTCATCATGCTCTATGTGTATGTCCTGTATGCTGTTTTGTCCTCATGTGTTGTGGGTCCCCCAACTCTCCCCACTCCCTTCCGTCCCCTTTTTGATTAAGATGTTTTAGGTGGTCTCCTCAAACCCACAGCGATATCTTCACCCAGTCAGGGTATGAGCACGACCCTGAACGGCCAAGATGCCCACAAACTGGTGTCCAACGACCTGGACTCATCACTTGCTAATCTGGTCGGCAGTAAGTTCCCTTTTTTATATTATAAAGTTATACTATGGAAATAAACAAAACCTAAGCGCTAAATGTGAGAATTTAGCATAGAATGTTGTCAGTAACATGGGACATGTTATCAGTCTTTCTACATGTTATGCTTATGTTGAGTGTGCATTCATTGCATTGACCCTGTCCTCTTTAGATCTGGGAATTGGCAACGGCACAGCAAAGAAGTGAGTGCATTCAAGTGATATTTAGCCTCATATTTCTGATACTGCATACACTGTAAAGCTGATGGGGGCAAATTGTGATTTTGGGCTGTACAAAATAAAATTAATTGTATTACATGACGAATATTTTGACTGGACTCCTGTAGTGATCTTTACTGGAGTCAGCCTGGTGAGAAGAAGCTGACAGGTGGAAACAACTGGCAACCCAAGACTGCTCCTTCTACCACCTGGAACCCTGCCGCCATGGTAGGGCTCACCTCTCAACCTCTCCTTCCATCCCCTAACTAGTAAACATCCAAGAGGAGATTAAATAGCTTCTCCTTTTATGGTCCTCGGGGCTCAATACTAACTTTCAAAAGTGGTTACCAGGCAGCCATCAGCTTTTAGCTGCCGAGACCAAAACTATGGTTACTATTTTTAGTTGCCTCATATGTGAGTATATAAAATACATTGTAGTAATGCGTGTGCTAAATAACATACATTTTACATTAAGAATTAAAGGTGAAAATAAATATTTAGTGTCTGTTTTATCAAAATAAATACTACAGGATCATCTTCAATCCAGCTCAAAGGTAATTGGATACTTCGCCTCCCGATAATTCCCAATTTTAGTTTTTATGTTTATATTTTGTTTATTTTACAAACTAAAGGTAGGGATGTCAACTAAAGACTAAATCTGCCATCTCTTCCAAATGGTTGTCATTCGTTGTCTAGCAACCTTTCCTGATGAGCCCTGTTCTTGGAGGTCTGAAGAATATTGGACATCAAGCCAAATTAATCAAACCAGTATAGCGATATTGATGGGTATTTATGGTTATACTATGGAAATAAACAAATTGCTAAACATGTATATAGATGTATTTACTTATCTATAGATTTATCATATCCTTGTTGACTGGCTGAGGGATGCTGAGTGACACGTCCCTGAGACAAAGCAAACATTGTCAGCCAGGAGTAATTCTGAAGGAGATCTCTCAATGCAATAAAACAAGAGCTGACTGTGATGAAGGCACCAATTTTGGCACCAGCGTTATGTCTGAATCACTTCTGTCTCTTGCCAGTGACTCAATACTTCCCGAGAGAGCCGGGTGGTAGACAAATCTGGGTCTGTTATCACTGCAGGGGCTGTTGGCGAAGAGAGGGAAAGGATCTGTACTCTCTTCTCTCTTTTTCAACAAGAAGCACCTGCCAGTAACCAATGTCTACCCCCAGGACTCGACACACTCTCCTTTTTGATTCCTGCTTATGTTTGTCATTCTGCTGTTGGAGTCAATCTGATCCGGATCTGGTATTAGAATACTTAGTCTTTCCACCTTCATGTTTTGGGATTAACACAACTTGAGAAGTGTCTGTTTAGAATGATATTGATCTAATGAAAGCCATCTGCATATGACTGCAGTCCAGCTCCATCGCTTCTGGGGCTCAGTGGATCAAAAATGGATACACCATTGGATACACAGTGGTTTCAATTTGGGTCTGCAAATGTCATATTGAAGTGGCTGCTTTGCCCTTATCCCACAACATACAGGATACGTGCAACAGTGGTTTTGATTAGTGTTTGGTGTCAAACACAACATCTTTCTTTGTAGAAGGTTTGCACAAAGAAGACCCCCTCCCCCCTGGATTTGTGCACCTTGTCCCACTACTCTTTAGAGAACAGTTTGAGCTGGGAGTTTGTTGGTTTCTGCTGAAGGACAACAACCATTAAGTTATGTAAGAATACGTGTTCAAGATTTGGAGCCTGGTCGGGGTTATCAAAAATTCAGCCAAATGACTTCTCTCGTTCTGGAAAATGTATTTGTCAGATCACAGGTCAAGTATCAGCGCTGCGTTTGCAAAGGCAGGAGCAGTTCAGGCAGCACACAGGCCGGAAGAACAACTAACTAACATCAGCAAGAACATCATGTTTTATAACCCTTGAAAGACAGAGAAGGAAATATTTCTATTGGCCCTAAACTGGCGTAGAGGAGGACCTTCCACCTCCCGCATCTAAGATCCGGTCACATCCAATGTCCAGACTCCTGACTTAACGTAAACATCGTAAACAGAGTGTGTATGTTGAATAGTGTTGGTGTGTCTCTAACCCCCCTTTGGCTGGTAAATCTTCTAGTTGACCCGCAGACCTTACATTCCTCAGCCAGGACAGAAACTGACTCCCCATCCTGTCGGACTCGTGTCTGCCTGCTTGGCAGATCCTGCTTACCCCTTACCTAACTCTTAAATCAAGACAAGACAGCAAAACCCCCAACTAAGCCCATGAAAATAACTTTTGATTATCAATTATTCCACTGATGTTCTCTGAGTTTTAGGTTGAGCGAGCCAGAGCAACATCGCTTTGTGTCTATGACCTGTATATGCAACCCTCTTTCTCGGTCTTCTTCAGAGTCTTCTCCAAAAATTCCACCCTGGATTTTCCCATTCTCCTTTCTATACTGATACTCAGATGGAATCATCTCCAAAACCTAAAGCTGCCACCACCATCTTTCAGTCCAGACGATTTTGCTCCCTTGGGAATCTCTTGATGTCCCTCACCTGATGTGTTCCTTTCTACTACCATGTCATGGACTTGTTTTCAGAGCTGTTGTTTTCCCCTACCATTATATCCTGGTATCATAAACGACTACCGGCCCCTCGCCGGCCGGTCCTGGGAAAAACACTGCAATTGTTAATTTATCATTTGTTAGATTTTTTACATTTTTATTCTACTTATTTTCACTTTGGATTGGCAACCTGACAATGGCGTTATTACATTATTGCAATTAAACTCCAGGGTATAGATATTGTCAATTATAAACTCGTATTGGCTGATTCCAGCTACGGCCATCTTTTTTTCTTTCAAGTTTCATTCAAGCTGCATTCTTGATTTACTATGAAAATGTGTTTTGAATGAAGTCTGTCTGGAAAAAGGTCAGATATGTCATGTGACTGTCGTTCAAAGGAAAATGATATCGCTAAGCACTGTGATCAGAGGTGGATATGAAAATGATTCAAATTGGTAATAAGTATACTGATATCGAAGCCTTCATCAGGACATATTCCTGAATAGATTTATTTGAGTTACTATAATTACAGGACTACTGAGGTCCGACTGAAATGTGTTGCCCTACAAACAAACTGTTAATGTTGGGTTGGACTGTGTCCTGATTCTGTAGAAGGGCTAATCTTTACTCTTGTGTCACCTCAGGCACCATCTGTTATGGCTTTCCCTGCAACCACACCGACAGGCATGATGGCATATGCAATGGTAAGTCGGAAGGGACTGCACGCACTCACGCATGCAGACACTCTGCAGGCATACGAGGAGGAGATTGTCTGTGTGTATAGTGTAATGCTTGCACAACTTTTAGTACCCTTCCTAGGGCTGTCACGATATCGCATTTATTGCCATATGAGATATTAGTGCGTAAAATTATTATATTTTCAGACCATTTTATGCCACTGATAACATAATGACAATATACTAGCACAGTAATAAAAGTACGCTATTTCAAAGAACGTTCTATTTGTCAGAATAGTTGGGTATTAGAATCGTAATGTGAAAAAATATATACTTTATAAATAAAACAACAAATATAAAGTGCAAAGGGGCACTGAGCGGGCGAAGCATCGGGCTTGGTGCGATGCGGTCGGGTTCGATAAAATGTGTCCAGCGGAACAGCGCACCACGGCTGCCGAGGAGGTTTAACGCGGGGCTTCGACCGCCAGCAGGGCGACGCGCTCCGCGGCTGCAGGGAGAGACGGGGCGGCTCGGTGCCGCTAACAATTGGCCGGCCCGGGAGGAACGCAGGAACGCGGTCCGGGGACGGCGTTCCTCCCGCCCAAAGAGGCGAACGAGCAGTCCGGAGGAACCGACAGTAGTTCAGGTTGAAAGACCGGGCGGATGATTGTTGTTTTAGGTGAGAGTTTAGCTTAGTTAGCTTAGTTGGGTTCACTGCTTCTCTTCACCTGTCGGTGTCGCTCTGTCTGTGTGCGCGCTGCCTAAGCACCGCCCCAGCTTTCCACAAGGAAAAGAGACAGAGGCAGCGCGATCAACTTAAATGTTGGTGACGTTCATTTATATGTAAAATGAATATCGCAGCACAAAAAAATGATTGCATGTGATTTCAGAGTGTGTGCGACACGTCATTTTATCGCATATTGCGACAGGCCTACACCTTCCCTCCTATTTTCACCTGTCCCAGTGGTACCTCTTAATTGTGGCCTGCAACAATTTCATGTTCTACTACTCTTGTCTCTGTACCCTTGATCTATTGAGCTTTCATCTCACCCTGAGCTTGGCAGACAGGATGTACCTTTTCTCCACCTATTCTTATATCAGCTCTGTATAATTCATTCAACATGCCACAAATACTTTGAGATGTTTTCATGGCTGCGTGCTAGAGATATTCGTCACACAGTTTTTATGTAGTTGGTGAGGGGAATAAGGGTTTTAGAGTATAAAACTCCACACCGAGGGGTTTGTTCCAATTCCTCACAATGGGAGGATTGTATTTAATATTATAATCCCACAAATACATTATGTACCTTTTGAAAGCATATACAGTTTTCTATTCCTGTATAGTGTATTTCATGCATATCCACCTTTCTGAGTGATCTGTAGGTTTAAAGATCGGTTTTCTGTTGTATGTCAAATGTTTATAAAGAAATCTGTCTAGTCAGAAAAAAAACTGGTTTAAGGATGTATATGGATGTTTCTAACTCTTGTGAGTTCTAGTGTCTACAAAATGAACCAAAGAGGTCCTGGTGCCTTATTGGGTTTACGACCCGTCAAGACTGAGTGTTTGAAGCTCTCCTTATTTGATGTGTGCGTCTTGTCTTTCTGTTGGATGTGTTACCATATATGGGATTAAAACCATTCCTCCACCTTAATTTGTGGAGATGTGTGTCATATCATTATATTAAGGGTATACATGTCGCAAAGTACTAACAACAGCAAGACATTTCGTCTTTTTAAATACTTCTGATTAGCCTTAGCATAGTGTGTACAGTATCAACACAAGCTTATCTATATCGTATTATCTATATTCCAGACATAGCTTTACTGTGCATTGATGGGGTTTGCTGTGTTTCCTTGAGTCCGTCCTTGGTTGCGGGAATTAGTTGGTTGGAAACCGTTTCCACGGTTTCTCAGTATTGCAGCAGTTGTTTGTGCCCCCTAACCCACGAGCCGCATCAAAGGGGTAGAAGACTTTTTTTGTTGAGCTGCATCGACTGGGAGTTAAAACTGGGGGAGCCGGACCTCTCTGTGGAAGTGAGAACATGGTCGGTCCGCAAAGTGTTTGGTTGGTCAGACCGATCGGTTGCCAAAGCCAAACCGGAAAGAAAGTTTACTTGGAGATATGATCGCCTTAACCTCTCACCAACCAGAGAGAGGAGAATCACACACAGGTGTGAGGATTAACTCTTTGCGGGGGGGGTTTACAATCTGGCCAAAACAGCCTTTGTTTTCGTGGGAGCACAACAGTTGTCTAATCCATCCTTGTTGCTTTTTTTTTTGTCACCCCTCAGCCTCCCCACGTAGGCTCCATGATGATGACACAACCTACAATGATGTACACCCAGCCAGGGATGATGCCAGCCAACCCCTTTGTACCCAGTCCAGGTGCACAGGTAACGAACGTCTGCATCTACAATGTCTCCTTTCTTCCACCCACACTGGCCTGTCTGAGCCAGATAAACGTTTGTGCTTGATTTTACCGTTATGCAGGAAGGGTCCCCTTTTGTTCAGATTAGCAAAAATGTAAATGCCATGGGTTAAAAATGCAATGTATGTCGCTTTGGATAAAAGCGTCTGCTAAATTACCTGTAGTAATAAAAATAATAATTAGCTTTGTCTTCCGTTGTCCTTCTCCACAGCAGGTCTTAAATAACCAGTAATACTGGTCTCTTGTGTACTGGAGTTCTTAATTCACTTTCCAAGCTGTGCACTCCTTTGTTTTCTCTCGTTGAAGTATTTTAGCTGGTGTATTTATTGGAGTCTGGATTCTGGTCCTCAGTTATTGGATTGTGCGTCATCCAAAAAGATGATTTTTCTTTTTGTGTTTTTACATCACCAGATGCACTTTATGTAACCTGAAAGGGGAGGAGGTCTTCCCCATATAAAGATTATTCACAATGAAGATGACTCTCCAAGCAAACCCGCTTTTTGCTTCAACTGAACTTGCCTTTTTCCCAGAAATAAAAGGACCCAATTCGACTTGTTGAATAAAACCACAGTGACGAGGAGCGACCCGGACCATCTCCAACAGGCATCGAAGGGGACATTGTGCCCATCATGGTGAAGTCCTTGGAGAAGAAGAGTGGGCTGCCACTCAGACCATTGTGCACAGATCCAGCCTGGCCTAAGGGACACCACACTCACAGGGAGAGCTCTTTGACATCACGCTTTATTTACCTGTAGAACAAAACAAAGTTGGGTTGCTGTCACACACACATTGTTTGAATTGTCTTTTGATCATCATCAAAAGCATCATAATTGCTTCTTCAAGCATCCCCAAATTAGGAAAGCAATTATAAACTTGTCTTTATATCCCACTTTTGTATGTATTGTTTGCAGTCAACATTCCTTGTGTATTTATTTATGATTATCTATAGATAAAATGACCGAATATAGTACATTTCAACCGTCACTGATCTCCATAGGGACGGTATTCAGGTTTATACATGGGTATGATTGATTTTTGAATTGGATTTTGAGTGATTGAGATTTTTTTCTTTAAAAATAAGTTCATATAAAGAAGATTAAATGTTTTGCTGTTGTGGCACTAAATATTTTCTGTATTCGCATGATGCCTTATACGGTTATCTGTGGCTCCAGCGGTCACTGAGGATCTGAATTCAGTAACGTCAAATTGGTGAGGACGATTTCTAAGTTAAGCAAGGGAACCCTTTTCAAACAGGACTAGAAAGCCATCTACTTCTGACATTTTTGGCATGCCATTTATTCTCCCATACCAGAATGGGCATGACTCCTTTCATGCTTGGATCATGTTCCCATAGGCCAGCACTGCGGCATTCAAGACAATGTGGGGGCATGGTGAGTCACTGGGTTAAGAGTGGTAACGGTGGGGAGTTCGACTTGTTAGAATATAGTACTGTTGATCGGTGCTTTGTGTATATAAAACCTTTCCTGCCAATCACAGGAACTGGCAAGTGCAGGTACGAAAAATGGTCTGAATATTAAACTGGCCCTGAATCCATTCACTGAGCAGATTCTGCTGCATTGTGCCTGCAGATTATATTTTTGTTTGTTGGATTCTTTTCCAATAAAGTGCAAGTCTTTGACTTTTGACTCCATGTTTATTTATTATAGACCATATTTATTGAGGTCCATATAAAATTTAGTCTGGTCTAGACGCCATAGATTAATGGCCATCAATGCGGCAGGAGGAAGTAACGCCAGCGAGAGCTTTACTGAAGCATGGGAAAATGTATTTGGGGACAGCTTGTGTAAGAAATGTACTTGCTACTAAATTAGTTCGATATGAGCAGGAATTTAGCCTTATCTATAATTAAGTGACATCGGATCTTCATTTAGAGATTAAATAGGTAAATTTGGGTCTGAGCAAAGCGGTTTGTCATTTGCTAAAGAGTAACACTGTAACACCCAGGACTGTATCGTGTATTTTTCGACTATTTTTCTCTATGTTGATCCTACGTGAATGGCAACATTCAGGAAAAATTTGTCGGGACGTGTGATCGGATGTCTTAAATGGCGAGGGGTCCCAGCCTTCATCATTATGGAGTCTTCTGCTGAACCCACAGGTGCATCCACACACACACAAACACAAGAACCTTGATATACAAGCTACATCCTGCTTGGTAAGCATCTCCAGCAGCAATGAAAAGATTCTTTGTTGTGCTGCCACTTCCCCTCAGTTTGGATGCAGCAGTAGAAGTGTCTTTGTGTGAGACGCCGACTCGTGATTGAATTGGAAAGTTAATAGAAGCATCACTGTTTAGGCCTTCCCTTTTTTAGTAAACCTTTCATGACAATTCCCAAATATGTTGGACTGGATTGTGTGCTTTACTACAAACTACATTAAAAACAATTATAGTCTGAATGTGCTACATGTCATTATCAAAAATGAGTTATGTTGTGAATAGAATCACTGTTGAACATAAAGTGAATTGCCATGTGATTGGTTCTTGCCAATCAGCACACAGAGGTGCAGATAAAGCTTTAGTCTGGTCCAGCCCAGTTCATATCCTCTGACATTTCCCTCAACCATTCCTGTAACCGTGGAAAAACATTCTGAATGATGTACCTGGTGGAGTTTTAGCTGTGGTGTTAATGTTGTTTGCGAAATACTTAATGGTTCATTACATCCAACTATACTCAATTTAATATCATAGGAACATGTTATCAGTACCTGTGCTCTGATGGCCAACCTTGCAGAAGTCCTGCATTAGAGAACCAGCTGTAGCCACATGTTAGTAATAACGAGGTGGGCGAAACTGCCGTACGCAGTGTCAGCAATTGTAAACGCGATGAGGGCGATATATAAATTCCCATTCACCTGTGTTTCTTCCTGCACCAATTTCTGAACGTCCCCCCTCCCAGTGCCAGACAAATGCCTTCTTCTTAACTGCTGAAATCAGTTTAGATAAAAGGCAGATAAGGCACTTACCAGCCTGCAAAATGTTTTAATATTTTATCTTGACCTGTTGCAAGGATTTTTTTTTGTCCTGTCGTGTTTGTTCTGTATGAACATTAAGATTTTTAGAATTAGACACAACTTATAGGGCGTTGTGCTTATGGTTGTAAAGCATATACTTGCATCATGAATAAGGGTTTGAAATTAGGCCTAGTCTTTAGTGTATATTTCCAGATGAGCATTTATTCCCTCTGCTCACTTTTAAGGCAAAGTTGGCTAAATAATAATACATTTTAGTTATATAGTGCTTTACAGGCTACTCAAAGACACTTTACGGTAAAAACCAGCACATTTAACACATAAACACACGTTTTTCCTTTTTTTTACATGTTATATGCTTCACCTCTTCATACGTTTCCATAATTAGCTGCTGCTCAGTGGGTGAAAAATATGCCGCGCGCGTCTTCTCCATTTCTGCATCAGTAAATCTGTGATCAATACCGTGGTCTGTTTAAGAAAGCCGTGGACGCACACCTATCCCAGCTATGTACACCTGGTTTGACTTTGCCCCCTCCTTCTCATCCTGGCTCGGCAAACGTGCAACCGCCTAAGCCGCCATGAACGAATCACACTAAGTCAAGCTGCGCTTTTTCAGTTATCCTGGATTTCTTTATTCTACTTTTTTGCAATAGCCCCCAGTGCAAGAGAGCTGATCAAGTGGAGAGTATATATAAATAAATCTACAGTGTGAAATCTACATGGAGTAGTATTAAGCAGCAGGGTTGTAAATATGAATGACAAGGTAGGCTATAGCATAATTGTGCAATACGGCATAATTGAAATGCAGAATGTTCAGTGGCTGGAAGGTCATGTGTCAATGGGAGAGGTGTAGGGGGGGAATAGAAGCTGTTCTCGTCCGGGAACGGAAGGCCCTAAAATGCCTCCCAGAGGGGAGGAGGGCAAACAGTCTATGGTTGGGGTGGGAGTAGTCCTTCACGATGCTGCGCGCCCTCCGCAGACATTTTTTGTAATGGACAGACTCGATAGTGGGAGTGAGGAAGAAGTGATGCGCTGGGCAGTTTTCACCACCCTCTGGACAGATTTCCGGTCCGCAACAGAGCAACTGTCGTACCACACTATGATGCACTTGGTGAGGATACTCTCGATAGTGCAGCGGTAGAAGTTCACCAGGATCTGAGTGGGACAGATGAGCCTTCTTCAGTCTCCTCAGGAAGAATAGGCACTGGTGAGCCTTCTTGACCAGTGTTGAGATGTTGAGGATCCTCGGAGATGTGGACGCCCAGGAACTTAAAGCTAGCAACACGCTCACACTCCGTCTAGTTGATTGATATGGGGGAGTGTGCACTACCTTTGTCTTTCCCGAAGTCCACAATGAGCTCCTTGTTCTCTTGGTGTTGCCGCACCACTCGGCCAAGTGCTGGACCTCTATATGTATCTGTATCTATAGATCTATATCTATCTCTATCTGTATAATACACACAGTGGGGAGAACAGGTATTTGATACACTGCAGATTTTGCAGTTTTTCCCACTTACAGAGTATGTAGGAGTCTAATTTCTATCATAGATTACACATATATATCTATCGATATATCAATATATCGATAGATAGATGCATCTCTATATATAGATTATAGATATGTGTTCCTGCTCTGCCAGTGGTTTCCTGCTGAGAGGAGCTGAAACACTCGCCTCGCTTACCAATCACTCTGATTGGGACCTAGTCTAAGACCGGACTAAAAACTGAACTTGTGTAGGGAAATAAAACACTATCTGGACAATGTTTGTGTGTGGCTTCCCTTTTTGTGGCTTCCCTTTTTTTGCCACCTCTGAGCAGGTTGATAATAGATAATAGTGTCCTAAGAAACTGAGGCAATAGTGACTAAAATTCGACTAAACAACCTTTACATTTTTGTGTTTTATTCAGCCTCCAATGATCACATGATATTATGAACGATTGAATGATATTCATGTTTGTAAATTTCACATTAGTTAATGAACACCTCATCTCAGTATGGTACTTCTGTTAAAGGGACTACTTACTTTGCCAAATAAAGAAATGTGGTCCTACTCCTTCATTCTTCTCAGCTGGTCCTGTAGTCCTCCATCCTTCTCAATCGGCCCTGTAGTCCTCCATCCATCTTATCCGGCCCTGTAGTCGTCCATCCATCTCATCAGGCCCTGTAGTCCTCCATCCATCTCATCCAGCCCTGTAATCCTCCATCCATCTCATCAGGCCCTGTAGTTCTCCATCCTTCTCATCTGATCCTGTAGTTTTCTATTCTTCTACTACTTTAAATAGATTTGGAGACTTTCATTTGTAACTATGACCTCAGCTCTCTATGGTGCAGTCAACCAGACTTAACCTAATGAGTATTTACAGTGAGTAAATACTCCTTTAAATACTGGTAAAAGGTGAAGGGCTCCGACAACTATGCAGTCCACTTTATGTTCCGGTTTGTGGAGGATCCGAGGCCTGAAGTGGAGGCTGTGTTCCTTTGCCTCTCAATCCTTACCTACTCTGGGCAATCCTCCTTCCTTTTACTGTTAGTACTGCTCCTATATACAGCTCACTGTGTTGACATTTGGACATGAAATGTACATCTCCATCTAAAAAAAGTTATTTTTCACCTCTTCATTAAAACTGATGAGTTTTGTATTTATTATGAGCAGGAAGATGCTGCTCTCTGCTGGACAAATCTGAAATACGAATCACCGTTTCACTTTGTTTCCTGGGTTGTAATAATTTTGTATGAATGCGTGTTTTCTTCCTCTCAAAACAATTACAATTTCAACTTTTAGAGTGTATATACACACACACACACACACATATCAGTGTTTCTGTAATAAACATATCTGTTTACTGAGGTCAAATTAAGAGTTTACTTCCTATTCAAACATTTACAATGTCAATTTTTTAACTCAGTGTGGAAACACTTGTGAAGGGTTAAACGTCTCCGCCCTAAATACGCCTTCTGTGTTCTGTCCCGTGGGACCGAACGTATGAGACGGACCTCCTCGCTGTTCTCAGCCGCCACCTGCCACTGTGGGCCTGCAGCTTCATCCAGCTGCAGCAGCTCTGGATCCAGTTGCCAAGTTGGTTATCACCCAACCGAGAAGCAACCACGAGAGGTGAGCTCACCGCCTTTTGACTTCACAACTTGTTTCTCAGTTAATGGTGTATGCTGCTTCTATGTAGCAAATACAATCCTCCTTCCTCCAACAGTGGATGAACAACAAGTCTGGAAGGAGTGAAAAGATTCATCAGGGGTGAAAAAGATTTATCCATCTTGGTCATATATATTCGTGTCACTTCAGCAGCATTGATAAAATACAATTTCTTCTGTTGTAAACTGGTGACATTGCAAATGTAACAACAAACTATTAGGTCATTGCGTCAACTCACTCCAGTTATGTTTGAACACCAAAGCAATAAGGCGTATATTGTTAAAATAAGTAAACATTTAGATTCGCTTTATACATTTTAATTATTTATAATTTCTATACCGTTGAATAATTTATTAAAATACATGGCATCCATTTAAACAAGATATCCCCAAGCAGACTTGTTGGTTTGCAGTGTAATGTGTTAGGGTTAGGGAATGTACAATCATATTTTATCTAGTATTAACTGAACAATAGCAACTTCTAAATGTCTGCAGAACTAAATATTAACCAGATGTCAGAAGACATTTTGGCATTATGTTTAACAATTCTTTATATCAAGTTCTACCCTTTTTAATAAACTGTATTAAAAAAGGTAGAAATCACATTAACAATGTTGGAGTTAGTCAAGTTAGTCAAGATTTTTGCAATAATGTTAGTAATAATAGTTTGTTACAAGGAAATAAGTCCTCTGTCCTTCAGCTGTCTTCACTTTCTTTTTTTACTAAACTGAACATGCAAAATTCCTCTTTTCCAAACAAGGAAGTACTCCCACTTTAATCAGCGTGAGTTTAACCAGGATAAAGCTATTCAGGGTTTCTCACAGCTTAGTGGTCATGCAGCCCTGTATTCCAGGATAAGAGGCGATTACAAATTTCTTAACTTGGATAATGAATAAACAATGGAATAAAACACTGGGCAACCACAACCATTTCACAATCAGTTAGATAAGTACTATTTTTCAAAAAGCAGCTAAATGACAATGACACTCATCAGTTCAGCAAAGACAGCAGGTTTACAAGTTCAGTTATTATAATTTTCAACACAGTGAAGCATTCTGGTAGTATGAACATCAAACAAATTCAAGTTCAATTCAGTTCAGTGCAAAATTCAAGTTTCCAACAGATTCTTACATTCGGTCAAACATTTTCAAAGGAAAAGCAACAATTCTGTTGTAAGTTGTATTCCCTTTTTTTGCTGTTTTACTTTTGGCATTACACACTCAAAGATCCATGAAGGCATTGCTCATTACAATATTTTACGAATTTGACAAATGACTTTGATTTGTGTGCGTTGGAATGTCTCCATTGCATTCCCAAAGAAGAAGGAATTATTAATGATCAAACAAAGCAACAGAAAAGAGCCCAGCTGATCACAAATCATAGCCTAAAATTAGGAGCATTCATTTTGTACAAACCATAAAACTCATGTCACACATAACCGCTCAGACTGACTTAAAGAACAAGCCAAGATCCTTGGGAGGTCTTAAGCTGTGATCATGTTCCACCTCTAGACACTGACCTAAAGCAGTAGAAAGCTGAAGACACGGCGAGTGGCAGCAGTCACCATGATCGACCTGAGTTTCCTTACTGAGGAGGAGCAGGAGACAATCCGGGCCGTGTTAAAAAGAGACGCTGAGCTGAAGAAGACTGAGGAGCAGCGCGTTCGGTGAGTGCCGTGTTCTGTCGCAAAGCATAAACTAACCCCAGGCTCTTAGAGTATGATCCATCACAGACAAGATGGCGTAGACAGGATAAACATGTCTGTCTGCAGAAGGAACATGTATTTCCTACATAGAAGTTTAAACTGCAGAGGGAAATGTTGCTTGCAGCACAACATTGTAAAAGCAATACAATAAAATTCTTCGTATGATGATGACTGCACATGTTCCATTGATGTGTCCGTGTTCAGGAACCTCCAGAAGACAGTGAGGGATAAGGGCCGGCTAAGGTACATGACCGGAGAATGGTTCTATGAAACCAAGCAGCTACGACATCAGGATCGCATACATGGCTCCGAGATCATCAGGGCCTCTATGAAACACTCCCATAAGCCGCTGACCATACGTGAGGCCTCCGAGTCCTGCATTGCTATTGTCGAAATCACAGAACCAACCTATGGAATTGATCTCACAATAATTTCAAGTGTATATTTTATGATTAATAATCTACAAATTATTTATGCATAGTTTGGTGTAGTCACAAGAGAGTGTTTCAATCCCCCCAAAACCACCACATAATTGGAAACGTTTTACAAAAACACATCACAACCTGAATGAATATTCATTTTTTCTATACACTTTTAACTTCAACTTCATGTGATAATGTTAACCTCAAAAGGCTCCTAAGAACTTTTTACAAATGTCTAAGAAGACATTTGTAAAAAGAAATGGTATTTATTTACATATACATAAAAGTCACCTTACTGTTCTCAGTTCTCGGTTAACATTTTGTATTGGATACAAGCAGTGTCCTTTACAATGACTCACAGTGGCCCTGTGGTGTATGTGATGCGTTATAGTGGAGCTCTCCCAGCTTATTCCTGAGAAGCCACGTTCTGTCAGCAGTGAGAACAAAGATTTCGTCCCACCTGCACTCTGTGGATTCCTTCAAGAGCAGCACAGCGATGAGAGGTGAGTTCATCAAAGCAGGAAGTAGTCTGTGAGCAAACGTCCCACATTACTTATTTTTGTACGGCAGAACTACATCTTCATGTTTTAAAGGATACAGCTGGTCTTACTCTATTTTCTTCTTATTCTTCCTTTATTTAGCGAATATAGACACATTTTGAAAACTCCATTTATGAACCAAACATTTGGTCAGTGCAGTGTGTTTTGAGCATCCTCACATGCTGCTCTAGTGGAGCAGACTATTTGGGTGTGGTTTCCACTGAGTGGAGTTGTGCACACAGTAAGTGAATACTAAGTAATCTGCTCTGTAGTAATCTTCTTACAAGGTCAAGTTTCACATGTTCATGTTTTCCAGTGCCTCTGAGGTGAGACATGGGCTGCACTGCCTTAACTAACTTTCTCGATAGCGACTATGTTTTACTGTAATTATTTGTCCCAAATAGAGAGTTGAAAAAACAACCGACATTGTTCAGGAGATTATATTTCACTGACCAAACATGCTGCATTGGAAGTGTAATGCACTAACAAGCAAATTTCCAAATCAAGACCAGATTAATTATTTTATAAATCCCAAGTTTTAGATGTTTCATCTTGTTGACTTTGTTTATTCTAATAGGTATGAAAACATAAAGGCATGTGAAATCCTAGAACATACACCTACGCCAATTTTACATTCACTTACAAAAGTAAGGATTCTGTCAGGATAAATTATTTTTAAAAGTTTGAGTACATGCAGGTGTTTTATTTATCATCTTATTTTCAATATTCAAGCAAAGACAAAACCCATTCAACAGCGACATAATTGAAAGTCACAGTTTTGAAAACAAGGACAGTTCGTTAATGGACGGAGCAGTGGATCTAACCCAGACACAACATGAGGGTGAGTTTCTATAATTTACCTCAGTTTGTGCTACTTCAAATATATATTGTGGGTGGGAATGAATTTCTTGATCTACTGATACACAACATGTGTTTTGAATTGAGCGGATGTTTTGATGGACAATTTAGCAATTAATTGGACCTCTAGGTGTGCAGCTCCTTTATGCCTTAGCTGAACAGCATGTTGGCATGAGCAGTGGCTGCATGTAAGTGAAATGCATATGCAGGCTAACAATTTTGTAATCTGATTTATTTGCATCTAATTTTTGTTGCAATTTCAGAGAAGCCCTTTTTACAGAGTGTTATGGAAAAAGAGGAGTTCAATTTCATGCAGGCACTTCGAAATGATGTAATATCTCTTAGCCATTTGCTAATTTTACAAAACAGAGATAATTCTTAAACTTTAATTTAAATTATTGGTGAATTCTTTTGGTTTCTCTCAATATTTGTGTGAATAGTGTGTTTTCTTCCGGTCCGTGTGAAATGAGTCAGTGAGCTGGGATCACAGATTTTTCCCAGGGGTTGTCAAAGTAAGTCCAAATACATGAGGCCTCCTGACTAGCCAGAGGATTACACAAAAATACATTCCAAAGCCTTAATCTTTACCGCATGACTAGTAGTAATGACAGATTTAAAAAGGCAGAATCTATTCATACTGGAAACTATACCAGCACTATGTTTGTACATACACAACAAGCTCTTGACATAAATCGTTCTTGAAAACTTCATGATAAACACTAATATTCCACAGATTGGGCTTCTTAATAATTGGTTCTAAAAGAGCAATATGCCTTGCTTATGTGGAAGGCTTCACATTGATCAAAAATGGTAAAACAGTAGTCTGATAATTTTATTTTAAAATACGCTATTAAACTGTATGCTCTATAAGTAAGGCATTTCCCAAGACAATCTGTCAAAAAATACAGTGACAAGTCTTAAATTGTCTAAAGATAATGGATTGGGTTTTTCATACTAAAGGACCAGCCTAAAGTGGAATAAGTATTTAGATCCTTGAGTTACTTGCAGAATATAAGATCAAAGCGTCATCTAAGAGGAAGGTTACCATTTGAAACGTCTCTTGTCTTCCAAGCTTGGAGGGAAAGGAAAATAAGCCCCGTAAACCCATATAAGGATTTCACGTGAGAGTATTATGTATTGCAGTTTTTGCAGAAATGAATCCCCTAGTCCCTTAAAACCGACAGCGATTTCCTGTATTTTTGTTTTCTGACCCTCAAAACCGAAACAACAGTGTGTGTCCCTGTGTTTTCCGACCAGGGCAATCCCTTGCACGTAGGTTTGTCCGTTCTCGGTTTTCTATAGAAACATGGAAGCCGGCTCTGTGAAGAGGACCCGCTTTTATGTAGATTAAAAAACAGCTTATACTAAGGTAACAAAATAATTTCAGGTAATAACGCACTGAAGAAAACACACAATCATATTTTATTCAATTTTCAACAATAGATCCCCCTAAATTGTACACACTGTTCCTTTAAGTACCAAGTACCAATACACAGTTTTCTAGTCAAGACCAACTGAACCAAGGCACGACCAAGACCGGATAGTTTTAAGTTTAAGAAAAGAACAAGACCTGAGTTCTCCTCGTCTGAGATCAAGACAAGACCGAGTGAAAGATCGACTTGGAGACAGGGTTGAAAGTAGGTCTTGAGCATGCCCATACCACATTGAAGAAATACTCATAGTGCAATGATAAATAGGAAAGGAAAAAGGAGTTAGGAAGTTGTTAGATAATAGAGATAGATAATAAGCAACTATAACTAGCTTCACAAGCTAACCAAACTTCCCAGCCCGAAAGGATGAAGTCAACGTAATAATGTAGGCTAATAAAACTCTTCAGAACTGTGACATTGTGGTATTGAATAGTTTTAAACTTGAATGAATGTGAGTCTTTTTGTGAGACAAAAAACACAGCTCATGTTGGTTAAAATGCTGTGAATTTCTCTTTGTTTCTTTCAGAGCCCTTACCTTCATTTGACAGCTGCTTTTCATATACTACTAACCTTAAGCAATACCCTAGTGATAGACCAATCACCCAGAATGCCTCTATTCTGATGCCAATGAGTGAAAAAAGAACAGTCCCCAGCTCTCGGGACTGCTTTGTTGAGGAAGAAGGGCCAGGAGGTCAGCAGACTAGCTCTGCTGTTCAACAGGGCATCCTCAAGCACTTGTCCGCTTTTAGCTCCACAGACTCTTTGTTGTCTTGCCTGGACCTGCAGAGTGCAATTGGCCTAAATTCTCCCACCGACAAGTGGATTGACAGCAAGCAGGTGAGGTTCAGCTCCATGGTCAGTCAGAGTGGAGTGGAGTGGCAAGACAGAAAACAGCTGGGAGAGAACAGTTTGCTGGACATTGACTCCTTCACTCCCTCTGAGGTAGAAATAAAGTGTGAACTTGAGGATACTGGCAAGGCCACTGTTTGCACACATAGGCCTTTACTCAATCCGAGTCAGGTGGATTTACAGGAAGGAGACCTCAATTGCAAAACTCAGGCAAACACCCAGGAAGCTGGTCAACAACATATTGGTAAGACATTTATTTAAAACAACAGAGTCTAACTAAACTATATTTCGATAAGACTTCATTTGACAGTGATACGCCAAAATAAGTCCTACACAGCTATCTTTATTATACTTTGCAATCTTAAATAGACATAAAGGGCATGCTTAATCCAATTTGTGGTTGCTGTCTTTTCAGATATCTCGGAGCACTGTATTTCAGAGTTCTCAAGCCCTGCAGTGTCCAAACTAATTTTGGTTGAGCAGGAGTCAGGAAAGCTGGTTCAGCTGGAAACAGACCATCATTCTGAGACTACCTCTACGGACTGGATAACTGGATGCAACATTCATCACCCAAAGCTGCCTGAAGAAAGAGCCAACGTCACTGTTGAGGACCCTTTAGCTATCAAGCCGTCTCATTATGGCTTAACGGGTTCATCTTCTACTGTTTCACCAAAGCCTAGACAACGACTGCTTCGAATCTTTAGAGGAGAAAAAGAGAAAACTGCGGAAGTACACAGTCGAAAAAAAGAAGAGGTGAAGATAGCTATGCAGAAGGAACCAGGCAACACCCAGAATCTTTGTCAAGGTGCGGCAGGTAGGACCATAGACAAACCTGCAAGTGTCAGACAAGAAGCTAAACCCTCTGAAACCACAGAGGTCAGAACACTACAAGTTACCTCACGTCAGGATACACAATTTAAAGAAACAGTGACCTCAGCAGATACAGACTCTCACCAGGAGGCGACAGAAAGTATGGTTATTCAGCTTTCGGAGAGACGATCCAATATGAAAGCTTTCTGGGAGAGAGAAAACAGTGGTCCCAAAATAGTATTTACAGAAGAGGAAAGGCGAAAAGATAACTACAAGAGTGGAGTCGACGCTCCACATGGCTGTCAGACTAACTTTGATGCAAAAATAAAATTTTCCCCTCAAAAGGAAATTAAAGTTGACGACACTGCTGACTGGTCACCACAGTCTGACAGCTGCTTCTTTGTAGATTTATCAAAAGAAGATGGCACATATAGAGCGAATCCAGTCATCATATATGAAGAGACAGGTGACTCTTTAACAGGTTCAGTGAGAGAGTCAAAGATTTCTGAGCCACAGGATAACGTTACCATTCCTGTACCTCCCGTTCTAGCCTTCAACACCCAAAATCTAGAGAGGGATATTCAAGTTCCCCTTCCAAAGCAATCCAGTTCCAGTCCTCAAGAGGACAAGACAGTCAAGATCAGTAAGACTAATAATTTCTTGGAAAAGGAATATAAAGGACTCAGGGTTATTGCCCTTAAGAAAGACTCCCGCATTTCAATACTCAATTTCAAAGATGTTTCTCAACAGTCGTATTTAAGAACATCCTTAGATATCAGAGAGAAGTCTGACAAAGAGGCAAAAGTGACAGTCAGTTCTGGAAGTACTGGGGATGTACAATCAACATGTCACCAATATTGTGTCAAGGCTGACACTGAGTATGTGGAAAGGCCCCTTAGTTTGAGACAATCCCAAACTTCAAGATCAAAAGACCAGGATGACGAAGTCAGAAGGAGTCCATCTAAGACCTGCCATCCCAGGGTCCTGCCTAGAGAATCCTCCAGTCCTAAGAAATCCAAACTGGAAGGTTTCTTCTTGAAAACTTTTCCAATAGACATCAACCCCCAAGCTAGGTTTGTGGAAGAGCAACAAGGAAAGCCAACAACAGTACCAGGACATGAGGCAAAGCAGACACTGCTGACAGACACTGAACCAGGCGTAGGCATCACCTCTCAGCCTCTCACTCCTCATCCAGAGGACAGAGGGGCTTACCTTGGTAATTTGAATACACAACAATGTAGTTCAAGCTCCTCTAATTCACCACAATCAAAAAAATTAAAAAAGAAGATGTTGACCCTTCCAAGCCTTGTCAGATCTTTCATCCCTCAGGATAAACAGCCCGACCTCGGGCCAAAGGTGAAGTTTGATGTTCCTCTTATTCACCAAGATAAATCTACTATTGCAGTGAATGATGCTTTACAATCACCGCAAAATGCCCTAATTTCCCTTGCTGGAAACCCCAGTTACAGTCCCATTGAGGGGAATCTTCGCGGCATCGGTTCTTGGACTGTGCAAAATAATGATGGAAATGACCACCAAAATACAATGACCAAGGCCTGGTCTTTGTCTCGGACCAGTTCAGACAGTGAGCTTTTGTATTTCCTCAAGATAAGGATTGTGAAATGAATACCATAGTGATGTTTTTTTTTCTCACACAAAATTAACACATTAAAGCTGCTGTGAGTCTGAGAGATGTTATAATTGCTTTAATGCATTAATTAACCAACGCAGGAAAATATTTTATTGCACGTCAACGCAGTCCTTTGCTTACTGATTCTGAAGACAAAGACTAACAAACCATAGGTCACAAGAGGGGGAGAAGGGGGACCTGAAAACTGGGGCCCGGTGGCACCATCTCAACTCATGAGTTCATCAGGGGCGGGCCCAAGACTAATTTTCATTTGAAATGTCTTCCAGGCGGAGTTGATAGAACCAAAGTTATTTGTAACGAATACTGTTGTGTTTTAAATACACACAAGACGTGTGCACAAACCGCGCTTTATTGTATCTCTTTATCTGGGACCAGCCATGCCGTTCTCCCCTCAAGTTGTGATGTACAACAAATATTTTAGCCACGTTCCCTTTACTGTATAAGGGGAATGTTGCTGTTATTTTTTTTAAGTGTTTAAGCACTTTTGTTTGTATGTCCCCTTTAAAATAAAAGTACGTCATATAATGTTTTAAAAATATGTACGAATAACCATAACTTAATCAATAACATTTTATCGTTGCCCAGCATTAATTAATGTGTGTTTGATTAAATGTAGATTTTTCAGTTCACCAACTTTGTGTGATTTAAAAACTTCTGATGGTATAGATACGTGGTAGCTAATCGTTACCGTCAAAGTGATGTTACCAATGACAATATTCCTTTTAATTCATCATTTCAAAATGAAAACAACTGATTTAATAAGCCTTTTATTTACCTGAAATGTTAGCTCAAAATACTCATTTTTGAGTCATTTAAATGGAAGAATCTTAGTTTCAGAGGCTTGCTTAGTGAATCAAAACTTGTGTAATATCTGTGTTGAGTCTATTTTCCAAAGCTGATTTTGTTTTATTTGTGGCAGGTTATGATGAGAGTTCTAGTCCCATCTTGTCAGCCTTCAAACGATTATCTTCAATGGACACGTCTTCCTCCAAAAGCCTGGAAAACCTTTCCTTTCAAACAAGTAACAAAACTCTTTCTTCTTAAGTCAGTGAATATAAATGATAGTCATAAGGTTGTACTGTAATGCCAGGCCTAACATGTATATGTTAGAGATATGTAAATAACAGCTATTGAATCGAAGTGTGTAGAACAGTAACCATGTCAACATGTCTTTATTTAGTGGATGGATAAATAAATGGGCTCAAGCGTCAGTGCCTCTCCCCGGGGCTTTGAGACTAAAATGATCACAAAAAAATACCCTCTACAGACAAACACAACCCCAAAGTGCTGCAAAACAGCTGCAAAGAGACTCACAACAACTACAAACGACTAGAAAGAGATAAACATTGACATAAGAGACACAAATCCACAATAAAAAGATGCAAAACGACTATAGAAACATACAACAAACATATATTTAGCCATTTAGTGATATACATATATACATCACTAAATGGCCCAAAAGACAAAAAAAAACACTTGCTCCTTTGTTGGTGATACGTTGGGGCCTCTTTCGTGTTTTGCCTTGGGGCAATTGTCATGATCATAATCCACCCATACATTGTGGGACATATACAGGATGTTGGGGGTCAGTGAAAGATATTCAAAGTTGCATCTCTGTTCCACCAACAGCATCTACCGTCTCCAGCTCAAAGCAGATGAAAACCGACGTGTCCATGACTGTTCTTCAGCAGGAGGAGGTGAAAATACCACAACGCATGTTCAGTCATTTCCCAACTTCTCTTGCATAAAAGCTAAATGATTGGTTTACTCTCATTATTGAATTGAATTCTGTCCTTCTTGCTTTTCTCTGACATCAGAACGACAGTGACAGCACTTTTGAGACCGACTTGGGCTGGAGAAGGAACACAGGCAGCTCCACATCAAATTTCAGCCTCTCCTCAGGAATGGCTTCAATGTCGTCTGTATGTCTACATGCAGCTCAATAGTTATCCATAGAATATATTTCTAATAAAACACAACATATTATTCAATTTTCAATTCAAAGATTTTATTGTCAAATACACCCCCCCTGTGTATTGGATTTCTTATGCTTGCCTTTTCTGGAAAGCCAACCAATTTTAAAATAAAAATACAATATTTACATAAATGTACGTGAAGTAAAAATAAGGCACAAATGAGATAAGGATAAGGCAGAAATGAGGTAAGGGGAAATGTGCAAAACTGAGCAGGTTGTAAAAATGTTTTTAAATTAAAGGAAATGTGTGCAATATAAATTAACAGTACAGTACAAGTGAAATCCTAACCAGCTAAAGTACAGACCAGTTGTGAGTTAGGTTATAGAGTCCTCTGAGCGGTTGATGACTTTAATGGCAGTGGGGAAAAAACAGTTTTTCAGTCTGGTGGTCCTGCATTTGGCACTTGGGTGGGGTCTTTAAGAATGGAGGCAGCTCTCCTATGAACCCTGCGGTGGTAGATGCTCTGCAGAGAGGGCAGGCGTTTGCAGTCCATGGTAGATATAGTTAATCCGCCTGTGGAAAGTTTAATGTTCTCTAGGATACAAGATTGAAATTTCTTAATTAGTCAAAACCACTTCTGTTCTCAATGCATCCCAGGCGACGTGTGTATTTCACTGATGCCCGATGATGTATAGTTAACACATACCCAGGATCCTATTGGAAGCCCGTTGTCGTCGTCTAGTGGTCGGAGTGGAAACTACACCCAATCGATGCACCCAGGAGTGTGTCTCGAAAGACGTCATCAATTTTGTATATGAGATGAGTTGTCCTAGATAGAGATACATACCAGCCTGTTGGTTGCTACTGCTGCTAATATAACATTGGAATAGACTACATGTGACAAAAATTGGTCACATGTCATTTGCAGATTTTGGTATGTAATTCTTGCTACAGTAGGTACTATTAGTATTGTATTTAGGAAAAAATCGTAGAGAATTGAATTACTGTAAATATACCTCTATTAACTAAGTTACTATCCATCCATCCATTGTCAAACCGCTTATCCTGCACACAGGGTCGCAGGGGGGCTGGAGTCCATCCCAGCCAACTTCGGGCAATAGACAGGGTACACCCTGGATTGGTCGCCAGCCAATCGCAGGGCCAACACAGAGACACACAACCATTCACACTCACATTCACACATCTACGGGCAATTTAAAGTCCCCAATTAACCTGATCCCCAGAGCATGTCTTTGGACTGTGGGAGGAAGCCGGAGAACCCGGAAAGAACCCACGCAGACACGGGGAGAATATGCTGACTCCACACAGAAAGGCCACTGGGCGGAATCGAACCCAGGACCTTCTTGCTCTGAGGCAACAGTGCTAACCACCACGCCACCGTGCCGCCCTAAGTTACTGTACATTGTAATTAAATTGTGTTTATTATGTTTAATATATGTTATTAAAATTCAAAGCCCTTTTTCAGCAACTGCAACACAATTTGTTGAATTGTCCAAAGCTCTTGAACGTGTGATCTTTAACCAACTCTCCTCCTATCTCCACCATAACAACCTCCTTGACCCCCACATGTCAGGCTTCAAGGCGGGCCATTCCACAGAGACTGCTCTCCTTGCTGTCTCAGAGCAACTCCACACTGCTAGAGCCGCCTCTCTCTCCTCTGTCCTCATCCTTCTGGACCTCTCCGCTGCATTTGACACAGTCAACCACCGGATCCTTATTTCCTCCCTTCAGGAACTTGGTGTCTCAGGCTCTGCTGTCTCCCTTCTCTCGTCCTACCTCGACGGCCGCACCTACCGGGTAACCTGGCGAGGATCTGTGTCGGAACCATGTCCTCTTACTACTGGAGTTCCCCAGGGTTCCTTCCTGGGTCCCCTCCTCTTCTCGCTCTACACCAACTCTCTCGGCGCTGTCATTCGCTCGCATGGCTTCTCTACCACAGCTATGCCAATAACACGCAACTAATTCTCTCCCTCACTCACTCGGACACCCAGGTGGCGGCACGGAAGTCTGCCTGTCTGACTGACATCTGGATGTCTGCTCACCATCTTAAAATCAACCCCAACAAGACTGAACTACTTCTCTTTCCGTGGAGCTAAAAAGAATCTCCGACACAGGACTTGACGGTCAACTTCGGCAGCCCACTTTGACTGCTTTAATTTACTTGGGTTGAAAGTTCTGTGCTGTAGTATCCATAAGAAAATAATCAATACCTCGTGGTACCTCCTTCTACACTCAGTGTAGACCACATTTTGTCACGATGACTAAAACAATAAAAAGTAAAACAAAAAGACAAACAATTGAGGTAATTCATGCAATTTATGTCCCATGGCAAAGACAATGAGTTCAAACCAGAATGGATGTTTTCTTCTCTCCTTTGTGGCAATATCAACAGGTGAGCGGCAGCGTCTGCAGCCTTTATCCTGAGGACTTTGGAGACATTGAAGTCCAGGGAAGCATTCAGTTCGCTCTAAACTACATTCAGAAGCTACAAGAGTTTCACATATTTGTCGTACACTGTAGGGATCTAGCCGTGGCTGACAATAAGAAGAACTGCTCTGACCCGTAAGTGTATATATTTTACAATCCAAATAGAAAAGGCATAGCAAATGTCAATGATATTTGTAATAGAATGGTTTGACAAAGAGGCTGAAACATTTTAAATGGAGGGGAATGTTTGAAATGTCTGTCGGCTACTGCTGTCATCTGAAGAACTTCAATCGATGTTGTAGTTGAGAATATCAATTTTACTCCCCTCTCTTATAGATATGTGAAATGTTACCTTCTCCCTGACAAGACAAAGTTGGGAAAGAGAAAAACCACAATAAAAAAGAAAACACTTAACCCCACCTACAACGAAATCCTCAGGGCAAGAATACCATATTTGTTATTTTATAAATTTGTCATTATATCTAATGAATTAGCAGCCATATATTACAAACAGTTTTTTTGATTTCTTCTCCCCTCATAGTTTAAAATCATATTGGAAGTATTCAAAACTCAGTCGTTGAACATCTCCGTGTGGCACAGCAACACTTTTGGGCGGAACAGTTTCCTGGGTGAGGTGGATCTCGATATGTCAGAGTGGGATTTCAACAACACACACATAAATGAATGTGCACTAAAGTCCAAGGTAAATGATTTATTTCTACACATAGTCGTTGTGTTCTGTCGAAGTTATTTGTTAAATAGTTGCTTACTACGGCTGAATCCATCAGGTCTCAGGACAAAATACAAGAGCGTCTCCCACACATCTGATGGACAGCAGAGGACAGATGAGAGTTGCCCTAAGATTCCTGCCACAGACGCCCCACGGTGAGCTGAAGACTCTTCAGATTTCATTAATGTTTTCCTGTGAGTTTGAGCCATTATTGTGTTCTGACTGCATTCACAGGTAAGAGAACATCAAGGATGGAGACTGGTGAGGTGCAAATTTGGGTAAAAGATTGCAAGAATCTTCCTCCAGTCAGAGGAATTGTTACGGACCCGTTTGTGAAATGGTAGGATTTCATCCAAACTCTAGGTTAATGAACCTGTGCAGAATTCAATAAATAAATAAAACATAATAAATAGAACACTGAAAAATATATGTCCTTTTACATTTGAGAGTGTGTAGATGTTTATTTCATATAACAAATTCAATCAAGATAAACAGAGCACAGACAGTTAAATCATGACGAACTGCAATAAACCTTGAATGGTCTTTTGAAATGAAAATACATTTGGCTTCCCTTTTTCCTTGCAGCACTATACTTCCTGACACAAGCACGAAAAGTAGACAGAAAACTCGAGTGGTGAAGAGGGCGGCCAACCCGATGTTTAATCACACCATGGTGTACAATGACGTCCGATTGGAGCACCTCAAAGAGGCTTGTGTGGAGATGACGGTCTGGGATCACGACCGACTAAACAACCACTACATTGGCGGTTTAAGGCTTGGTTTAGGAACAGGTCAGTTTCAATTTGACTGGAGATGCATCCCATTCTCATTCAGAAGGCGGCGCAGGTTCTGGTCCAGACTCTCATCTCATTTAATCTCAGGCCTTGACTATTGTTATTCCCTAACGGCTGGTCTACCTGTCTCAAAAACACCTTTCCCGAATATATTTGGTAGGTAGCACTGCAAATGGCACTTACTTTCAGAAGTTTTGAGTTTGGCTTTCTTGAAGAAATTGTACTTTTTTTATTCTTATTGTTCTGGGTCTGTACCTTTACGGTTGATTGCACTTATTTTGAATTCCTTTGGATAAATGTTAAATTAAATTAAATTTAGTGTATTGTTTTCAAAACGGTACCAGCTTCAATCTTGATACCTTTGACATACGAGTTTGAACACCTGAGATTAAGGTTTGATTGGATTTATGGAATTAAGATTTGATAGAATTTATGGAATTAAAGATTGATTTAACACCCGGGAATCAAGTTTAATTATGCACATGAAAAATGACATTAAAATGTAATTATATACCTGGGTTTCAAATTGAATTATATACCTCGGATTAAATGTGTGATTGGACGCTTGAGATTAAAGTTGAATTATACACATGGGGATTTAAGTTTAATTTAACAATCGTGAGAAAAATGTTATAATAATCATGGTATTCAAGTTTAATTGAAAACCTCAATGATTGATTTAACATTAAGGATTAAACTTTAATTGAACACCTCAGATTAAACTTGAATTAAACACCTGGGATAAAAGTTCAATGACTGAAAGACCTGAGTGTACAATTTGATTGAACACCTGGATATACATTTTAGACAACTTTGATTAAAATTGGATTATACACACCTGGTTAAAGATTAATTTAACATTTAGGAGAAAAATTAAAATCATAACCATGTGATTAAACTTGAATTAATTTTGGGGTGAAGTTTGATTGAATACCTGGGATTAAAATGTTATGTTAGTATTCAAGTATTACCTCTATATTAATACAAGTATGTCTTGGCTTTTCTGTGCAGGAAAAAGTTACGGGGTGGAAGTTGTCTGGATGGATTCAACGACAGATGAAGCAAATTTATGGCAGAGGATGTTACATTCTGATGGTGAATGGGTGGAGGATGATTTACCTCTGAGAATGTTGGTAATGGTAAAAAAGTGAGATTGTACACACTGTGTTGAATTGTTTGTGGAGACTTTATTGGAGAACACTACATGCCCATTTGGATGGATCCACTATGATAACTATGGTCTACACTAAGTGGAAGCAACAACCTTAGCCATTAATGTGTATGCATTTGTAGAATTGAATGGTGTATTAAAAGCAAATATATACTTTAACTTCTATAGCCCAACCACATGTTAAATGTGTCAATTTGAAAGGAGTTGAGGTTTATAATAAAAATGTATTTAACATTTCAACTGTTTTGATCTGAGTACTTTTGAGTTGTAGCACAAATTGTATACACTCCTGTTCAAGCTATTCTTCAATAAACAGTTAATTAATGGGATGTGTGATGATAATAACATGGCTGTGTTGTTTCATTCATTTTAGGGATATAAACACTAAATATACAATATATCAGATGCTAACTGTGATCATAACCAAATGCCCACCCAATGGTATGTGTTACAATGAATAATTCATACATTTCTTTCGTTCGTTCGTTTTCAAAGATAATCCGCTGTTTTGCAGTTGAAGTATCTGTGTTTTTGTCCATAGAGGAGAGTGGCTTTACACAGATTGAGACCTCCCGAGAGACAAAACTTTTGTCTGTACAACAATTGGGAAGCACAGGGAATCTAAAACTAGATTCATGAAAGCATGCTATTATGGGTTCACAACTCCTCATTACAGGTGTACAATAAATGTTCAATTGTCATTCATTCATTTACCGCTAAAATCTGTGGAAGATATATTTTGGAAGAAATAATAATCTGACAGTCCCATAAAAGTGTCTCAAAATGATTAAAATGTTAATTAAACATAAAACAAGCCAACTAACAATAAACATGTATTCATATTTATTTACTTACTTTACTACATATTTAATGCAGCAATATTTAAACACTTACCTTTCTCATAAATCTGAAGCCCTGTCATTGGTTAATCCACCCTGATGCGAAATTGGATTATACGATTGGTTTTCAAGTTTTGTCAATCTAGACTACCAGCTAACCAGCGACTGGCCTTTGCGTTGCTAAGGTAAATTTAACAGCCGCATCAAGCTCACCGTATTTCGCCCTATGTTTGGCGTGCGTGCCACCATTGAAAAGTAAAACGATTGTTGCGGACTTTGTTCAGATGAGCCAAACACATTTCCTGTTTGTATTGTAGTCCTGTACTGGAACTGGGATATTACTAAATGAAATGATAAGGATAACTTCCATGTTTCTAATGACATGAAATGTGTCCTGCAACATGCATGTACCGCCACCAAAATCATATTACTAAATATATTAGCGTTTCTTGTTTGAACGGATTTTTTTGTAATGGCGTTAAAATGAATGGTTAAGAGTAAATTCAACTACTTCCATAACTCTGTATTTTTCTTTAATTTTGAAACTGTTATATCTTCGTTACATGTGTAACAATCTCAAATCCCTAAGCTGCAAATAAGTTTTTTTTGTACAGCGCGTACTATTGTGAAAATCGATAAGCGGAAGTTCAACTTGTTATTACCGCTAGCTTGTTTCTGCCACTTAAAACTGTTGTGATGCTGTCACTTCAAATGGCGAGCGTACAGAACCTGGTTAAAGAATAGAGAGATGTGTCCGCTCGAGGACAGTACGGATCAGGGGAAATGTCCGGAACATATACTGTCACAATTTCACGAAAAATGAAAATACATGGAGTAATTTGAGAACCATGCATTTTCTCCCACAGTTGGCAGGCAGGTTTTTCCCTTCAGCCAGGCGTTGCACCGGGAAAGCGTTTCGTTTAGCCCCGCCGCAGGCTGCCGATGTAGCATGAATGCTAGCTAACTTACGTTAACTTAATGAACGACACGCACGTTAACGTTTCATCTATCCGTAGGAGCACCGTTAACGGTTTAATTATATGGCTTGGCGTTGTCGGCCTCATTGGTATACACAGTATACATGTCACTCCAGAAGTCACAAGCTCCAGACAGATGTGACTGTTGTTGTTAGCTGGCTTGACCGAACGTGCATCGTTAAAGGAAAACTCGCTGATACTTCTTTTGAAACCCGGCATTTATTTGCTTGTTTGGACTGTGGTGGAACATTTCTTAGGAGTTTGGTCTGAGAAACTTCAGATATGCACGGTGGGGCAGGAAACCTGATGTAGATCAGCTCCTCCCGACAGGACCGACCAGGAGCGGGTGTCACTGCGGGCACCGCGAGACGTGAACCCCCTCCAATTCTCTGCGGACAACGGGCCGGCTGCTCTACACTCTCCGGCTTGCTGTCTCTGGTCCCGCAATGTAACCCGTATGTCCGAGGACATATTTGTGGACCAACAGTGGATCCATTATGACAAGGTGCGCCTGTGGTCTGCCAGCTATACAGATGGAGGAGGAGCTCACGTGCAGACTGTTTTTGCAGCCGTTCCCAAGCGTTCTCACTCGGAGAACCCCTGAATCACTCAACGGTCACAGTAAATACAATTTGAAGAAACATTGCTGCAGGAGATCATAACGGTGCTGCTTTTGGATTACTTGGTAGATCTAGTCCGTGGAGGTCCTCAGTGGACACAGACCTCAGATCACCCACCCCTTCCTTGTGGTACCTGGACTCCACGTGTAAAGCTTCCCGTTTAAATGCTTTGAGAAGAGATACTTTGATCACAACACTATCCTTTTTCTGTAATTCCACCAAGAGGAATTTGTTGACCACTGACCTGGAAGCCCAAGCAAGAGTCAAGTTTACACAGTCAGCCATGCCTATCACAAGAAAAGGTGAGTTACTGTTATTTTTATGAGACCCCGTAAAGAGTGATATCGCTAATGTTGGATTAGACGACCAGTGTCCCTTATATTTATAACCACAGCTTGTTCTTTCTTCACAAAGTCAGCTCCGTTTTGTAGCTTGTAATAGCAAACTGCAAAAAGCCTTCACTTCAACCCCATCAAAGCTGTTTGGGATCAACTGGAACAATGACTACAAAGCAGCTCCAGGACGTCCTATTGATGCTCCTGTTGCTAAATTCAAGATAAGAACAGATTTCGGAAGCAGGCTGCATAGATTTGCTAGGCAGCCTGCTGTTATTATCTGTCATACTTGTGTTGTAATTATTACTGACACTATTCCTGCTATTTTTATGTGTATATATGGTACCAACGGCCATGTTGTCCTTTCTGCAGATAAAGCTCGAGTGCTTGGGCTCCTGGAGGAGTTCTGCACTAAACTGAGGAAGCCGGAGGAGCAGCAGCTCAGAACTGCCATTCTCAGAGTAATGGGGATTTTCAAAAGCAACTTGTTTGAAGCTCTTCTTGGTAAGTCAGTAAAGCTAGTAAAAATTAATAATGTTGTGGTTTTCAGATTTCCAAAATTTTGGAAGCGTTAATAGCACATGCCTCTGCTGGTTCTATGCCAGTGCACCAGCATTGATGGATTATAATCACAGGGGCTCGACCAATACAACTTCTCAACATATTTAAAGTTTGACAACACAGCCACAATTGGCTGAAGGAAAATATGCTAAATCTGGTTGGTAATTTTAAAATGAACGCTCACAATCAGCTGATAGAGAGGGAGCGACTCAGCTCCCGCTGAAGCTTCATACTGAACCCTGCAGGCCACTACTTGCACCCACGTGGGTTATGATGGACAAACCTCTGACTGTCTCAGTATTTCAGATTCAGCAGATTTAAACCTTTTGTCTAATATATTCTGAATTTGAACTGCAAAGCGGGACTGTGATCAGATCATAACTTCCCTCAAAACAGTCTACTCTGGAGTGATGGAGGTATTGTTACACGGCCATTTGCACTGCGTGCACCTTGTTGAGAGTGATTCCTAGGGACTAGTTTGCCGGTGTCTGCAAGACAGTCGGCCTGAAAACACCCGCAAACGAGTTCCTTCTCATCATGAAAACTTCATGAAAAGTCCCTCTAGTGCCATTTTTTATGCTTGCATTAATTAGGGGATATACTGAAGGAACTATTCATCTATATTGCTCAGTCTTTAGTGTTGCTAAAATGCTATGTTGTTTGCTCTCGTTCCCTCGTATGGCTCAGAGATGATCAGCTGCCCTGGAAATTTGGGAATGTATGAATCGGGCAATTTAAATCAGTTGTGTAATTCAAATCATGATCTATGCATTCGGGTAGGGCTGACGGAACACAGGTTCAACCTGTATACCGGTTTCAAATTTCCACACGGTATGAATTTTTACTGTCCATACATTCATATGGAGACAAGCTGTAACAGCTGTTTTTGCTCTTCAGCAGGCAGCAAAACTTATTGTTCCCTGCGCCGCTGAGGGCGCAGCGGTCGGAGCTACTTGTCTTACACATGTTGGAGTCATGTTTATGACTTACGATCCATAAACACCACGGTACAGCTGCTACATTACATTAAAAAACGAAAAAGAGAGATGCAGGAGGAACGAGAGACCAGAGATGCACCAACACAGCTTACCTCACCTTTAGTTGTTGGAATGCATTAAGCATTCCAAGTATTGTTCTTCGAATCTTTATTCTGACTTATTGTTGGAATGCTTTTAAGCATTGTTGATATCTATTCTACTTTTTTCATAATCACTGATTATGTTTCACTAGTTCTTTGTTCCGTTTCTGAGTTTTACATGAGTGTGTATTGCATTTGTTAAGAGTGTGAGCTGGAGATGCTAGAGTGTAGAGCAGTGTCAGAATCTGGTTAAAAAAATATGGAACTTCTGTCCTGACATGGTTGGCTAATAGCATCACTATTACAGCTGTTTCTACTGCTATTGATACTAAACCTACTATTACTACTTCTACTGCTAGTACTGCTAATACCACAATTACAACTGTAACTAATACTACCACTAATATTACTACAAACAATTTAAAATTTTATTCATCTCAGCTTTTGTTATTTCTGTTTTTTTTAAATCCATTTAAGCTCCTGTAACTTCTGTATTTTTAAAAAATTCTATTGAAATTCAGCTTCTCCCATTTTTGCATTTTCAACAGTTCTTTAAAATAATTTTAGCTTTTATTATGCCTGTATTAACAGCAATGTTTTAATATTAATTTCTGTATTTTTTTCAAATTTATTTCAGCTGTTTTCATTTCTGCTTTTTCAGCAAATCTATTGAAATTCCATTCAGCTGCTCCCATTTCTGTATTTTCAGCAATTTCAAATTAATTTCAGCTTTTCTAATAGCTGTACTTTCAGCAAATGTATTAAAATTCCCTTCAACTTTCTGTATTTTCAGCAATTTTCTGAAGTTCATTTCAGCTTTTAGCCTTTCAACGCATTTTCAGAAGGAAATGCATTTTCTAGTATTAGTATTTTCTAGTATTCTATATTATTCTATTTCTTCCGCGCCACCTTTCAACTCTTTCACACTTTCAGCTAT